AACATGAATCTACAAACAAAAAAAAATGCTACATCTATTTTTAGTCCACAGTGGAAGAGTGTTGGCAATGAGTGCAAACACACACGTCTGCACGTATAGGCATCATCCGCCCCCATCGCAATCTGCCCCAACTCCACAAGGCGTCACATTCAGCTGTGTTCACATTGACTATGTCCACCGAGACCAATATGTGCTAGCATTAGTGCTTCTGGCTTACAGTGACAAACAGGCAGACAGGGACATCACATGCAAAGCCACACAAAAGCACATACTGTGCGGATATTTTGATACGACTGGGGTCAATAAGGCAGACATGGCTGCAACAGATGCTAGCAGCAAACCCCAAAATAAAAACATGCTCTATCTGCTGCTCCCTTTCAGTTTGAAATTATTTGAAGCCTTTGGAAATGTTTAGTGTAGCAGTCAGACTGTTTTTAATGTTTAGGCCTATAATATGTATATTTAAGCAAGCATACAAGACATATTTGATCATAAATATAACAAGGAGAGATGGATGCATGTTATCGGCATGATCACACAAAAGGGAGGAAGGTAATCTGCGACCCTCCCTTTTTCAGTGCTGCGGGGCAACCCTCCAAGTTGGGGACAGCTTTAAATTGATTGACTTCAAATTAGCTTATATTTACTGAAGCTTTCATCGGGGTGGGTGAATAATGATAAAAAATAAAGACTCACATGAAATAACAGATTCCTCACAGTAGCACAGTTCTTACATGAACAGATGTTACAAATGATGTGAATGCTTCAGCTTCGGGCAAACGTCAGATGTGCAGAAGAGACTGCACTCAGCAAGAGCATAATAATAATGACTCAATTGAGATTCCTACAGCAGGGACAACATCTTGATGTATTAAATATGACAAACTGCACCATGGGATTTGTCTATTGGGAACGCTAATTAAACGAGAACAAAATAATACACTTCAGTGATCACATTTCTAGGAACATATTGACTTTGTTGTGTTTTGTTTTGAAATTATTCCAGTGGGATAGCGAACTATCTAAATAACGTCACTAAGACACGCCCCCGCCGCCTGTCAACTCCCGCCCACATGTTTCGGACAAACACTGCCGAAATGAATCAAATACCACTTGTCACTTTAGACGAAAATGATATACCAGGGGCAAAATTCCACCATCAAACCATCAGGGATCATAGTGTAGACCAATTATAACGTTGGCTTGAATGTCGTGGTCTTCCAGTAACTGGTAGAAAGTTTGATTTGATAAAAAGGTAATGGTGAGGATTATGCTAACATTATCTAGTCATTTAAATTGCAATGTTAGCGCCTTCTTTGTTTGTTTTGCTGTGATTAGCTTCCATTTATCAAGTTGTTTTTGCACTATCCACTTTGTAATTAGTTTGATCATTAGTTAGCTACAGTCAGCTGATATTATAATAAATCCATGATCACAACGGGTTACGCCACTGTCTCTGAGAGAAACTATCAGAGCTAGCCACACTCAGTAAACGCAAATGACAATCAATCAACACATTTAAATGTTAATGGGAGAATACATTATACACATTCATAACACAAGTGCACGGAGGTTTTCAGAATTAACTGTTCAGGTTTTCATGACAAAAATACTTTTTTAATGCGACTAAAGCGATCGCTTTTAGGTTAACTATCCTCACTGTTACTCGCCTGCCACGGGAAAACCTTTGGGAACTATTTTCTTTGCACTCATTAAATAAACCTTTCGGCATGAGTAGTGAATGACGTTTATTTTGTGTGTTCAATTGGTACAAAGCCGTATAATAAGCAGACACAAAGTTGAAAAAAATCCCTCTCATCTTTCTTCAGGTGTGAGAATTGTATACTTTCTGGATTAGGACAAACAATACTAATATGGATTGATGGGGGTAAATGGTGTAAAGAGAAAGTTTGTGCTAACTACATTCAGAAGAGCTCAGACGGACCTGATACAGCGGTCCAGATCCAGTCCCAGCTAAACGTAGCTAGGACTGGATCTGGAGGCTCCACAGTTGGTCCAGCGAAGTGTTTTGAAAAAACATGTCCTTTTTAACCTTTTCATGAGAACCCACCTGGTCTGATCTGGTCCTGGTCTGGTCCTGGTCTGGTCCGATGTTGTGGTTTTAACGAACGGTTGAATGTTACTACTGTCCTATTATCAGATATCCTGAGGAATCGCTACCGACACGAAGCACCAGCGAACTGCAGTGTCACCGCGACATAGATTCAAAGATTTATCCCAAATAAATATAGCACACCTATGAGGAAACACAGTAAGAACTCAACGAGTCGTACACAATGTTTGGTCCGAAACATGTGCGCGCACCAGTCAACGCTATTTTTAGCACATAAACCGAACAGTGCCCATGGGTAAGAACGTTTTTGATTGTACCTGCCACTTCCCATAGGGTCTGTTTATTTCTCTACAGATTTTTACAAAACCTATATAGTCAAACATATTGAGGACTGCAGTGGCACTGTTGAAGAAGAGTAAAGAGAATGATAATGCCTTAACTCTCAAAATGATGAAGACAACATTAGCCCGTACCAGCCCTGTGACATACTGACAGTATGAGGCACCAGAGGCCCCTCTGGGCACCTACACCCATGCCATCTTCACTCACAACTGCCACATACATACTACTGGGTTGACTGGGCGACAGATTTATATTCACAACCTTTCCTTGCTGGAAAGCATGAGTGCTAACACACCCGACCGATATGCTATAGGGCAAATAAAGTTTTCTTTTGGCACCGTGTCGCGAGAAAGGGGGGGTCCTGGTCGATTCCACCTCTAGGACCTTCCTGTGTGGCGTTTGCATGTTCTCCCCATGGTTTCCTCCAGGTACTTCAGTTTCCCATACCACTAAAAACACAAGAGTTGAATTAGTGTTTTGCTAGGGCCTCAGAGCTATGGTCGGAGTGTGTTGGTCACTAAACACCATCATGAGGCCAACGAGCTCACCAGAGAGGTCAGGAGAAACTTGTGTAGAAGTTTAAAAGCAGTGATCAGTTTATACCCAAGATTTCCCAAGATTTGAAACATCTTGCAGAGCCTGGTAGAGTATAAGGCAATGTTTATTTAAATAGCGCATTATTACAGAACAAGGTCACCCAACGCAGCATTACAACGTTCAGATAGTTTTAGATTATGTTCAATCATCCACACACTGATGACGGAATCGAGTCGCCGCACACACTGGGTATTAGCCCCCAATCAAGCACCATTCATTCACTCTCTCATTCCACATTGCAATACCAATTTGTGCATGGTTTAGTGAAAGGGGAAACGGGGAGCCACCCAAGGAAACCTACGCCGACATGGAGCAACATGCAAACTCCACTCAAAAAGTAGTAAGTTAGTAAAAGTATGTAAGGTATTTATATACCGCCTTTATCACTGCGATATATGTCGCAAAGCTGTTACAATTGTGATTTTTTGGGCACAGTTGTCCCCTCCTCACCTCCACAACAGAGATGGGGAGCCGGGGTCGCCAGTACAGGAGGCACATGCAGACCTATTGTACATATTTTTTAGTCGTAGGGAAACCGAGCACCCCCGGAGGAAAACCTACCAAACACAGGGAGAACATGCAAACTCCACTCAGAAAGCCCTGGTCCGACCGGGAATTCGAACCCAGGACCTTCTTGCTGAGAGGCGAGAGTGCTATCCACTCAGCCACTCAGTCCACTAAAACTAACAAATCAAACAAGGAGAGAACTGCTCCGAAGGGCAACCAAGTGCCCCAAAGTGACCCTGGAGAAGCTGCTGCTGAGCTGGGGGAATCTGTAGATGGGACATCTAACAGTCACAAATCTGGCCTTTATGGACGAGTGGCAAGTGGCATTATTGAAAGGAGGCTATAAAATGTTCTGGCCAAACACAAAACGTAGCGTATGCCGCAAACCTAGCACAGCTCATTGTACTGAGTGCACCATTTCCAGTGTCAATGATGGTGGGGGGAGCATCATGCTATGCGGCTGCTTTTCTTCACGGGGGACTGGGAAGATTGTAAGAATAGCTGGGAAGATGAATGGAGCCAAATACAAAGACATTTTGAAGGGCATCCTGCTAGAGTCAGCAGAAGAATTGAGGCTGGGGAAAAGATTCATCTTCCAGCAGGACAATGACCCTAAACACAAAGCTAAATCTACAATGGAATATTTTAGAAAAGACCTGAAACCTTCTGTTCAAAAATGCTCTCCATCTAATTTGACAGAGCTTGAGTTGTTTTATAAAGAGGAATGGGCTAAACTTTCTGTCAAACGTTATACAAATCTTGTGGAGTCATACCACATAAGACTTGCTGCTGTTATTTCAGGAAAAAGGAGTTCCATAAAGTATGAACTCATGCTGTATAAATACTTGTGCAGGCCCAACTTTTCAGTTGTCTATTTGTTTATTTTTAAAAACAGAATCATGTGTCATTTTGCTTTCACTTCACAGTTGTCTGTTTCTTGTGTGTGAACGTTCAGTAAGAGAAATCCAAATAAAATCTTTACGTTTATGGTTGTAAAACATGACAAAATGTGCAAACGATCAGGCTGTATTAATACTTTTGCAAGGCACAGTAAATTTCCATCGCAGAGTTAAAAGAATCCAGAAATAACACATATTTATTTATAGTGAGTCATTCTTATCAAACTATAAGCAGCAATATCATTTTATAGCTGTGTTTGGGGGTCAGTTGTGTTGTCATTTTGCGTATCTCTGGTCCTTAGGGAATCCTGGCCATGCAAATAATAAATCTGCTGAATCATTCTACACCTGCACCCATGATTCCATCAGCCAACTTTTCCCTAACCCTGTATACATTCCTCTATGTCCTGGCATCCTCTCCTCCATTCACTCTGACACAGCCTACATCTAGTCTTGAAAGGGAATTTTACGCTTTTCTCATTCCATTTAAGCTCAGCCTGCACTAACCCATTGTGCTGTGATGTTCCTCTCAGGCAAGAGGTCTAAATCAGGCAGAGGAAGACGGGGGCAGGGATAGAAGGATGAAGGCAGGAGCGATGGAAGGATTTGAGGAAGTGAGAAAAAACGGAGGGTGAGGAGTACAAGGAGGAGGGGCGAGTCAAGTGGTACAGCCAATGTGACGGGAAAGTAGTGTGGAAAAGCTGCACGAATAAGCAGACAGGGCTTAGCTTGATGCCATAAAGGCTCTAGAAAAATGTCCTCATACAAGACCTTTGACTTTTCCTCCTCCCTCTCCTCCTCCACTCTGTCCTCTGTGCCCTGCTTTTGTTGGGCATCGTCTCATATGTCATAGCCATCTCACTGTGGGAAGGTTGTACAGCTCTGTTTCTATTCTAATACTGGGGGCTGGTCGATTTAGCTGCATAGTGTAATTATTCTAAAAGATGCACAAAGAGAAAAGTAAACTTAGGTAGAAAATGATAATCAAGTGTATTTCAAGCAATATACTTTGATATGCTTTAGCATAAAACAAGTTCATAATGTCCTATTTGCATGTCACATTCCTCCATTGTACACTGCAATTCTTTCTTCTTGACCCGAGGCTTTTGCAGAGTGCATCTGTTTGTTTAGTCGGGTCACATCCAATTTCAGAAACTGTATATATGTTGAGATTGTGTATTTTTGCTATTAATAAACCTCACTTAGTGTTGCGGCTGAGTCATTCGGTTTTGATTTGTCCAGCCAATTTCTGCCTTCTTGTCTGTGATAGCAATTCAGACAGCAGCTGTTGTGTGACATCTCTGACCAGTTTGTCTTCTTATTTTCAGTTCACACTCAATTTAACAGTCTATTCACAACAATCCTCAGAACATTTGAGCTTCAGCTTCTTGACTTCTGTTAAAACCGTTTTTATACTGGGACTTTCGTCACGGTGTGGGTCTCTTAGCAGATTGTTTTCACAGCTAGAAGTGCAAATATATAATTTAGGTATAAGTGTGAGTTTGACTTGTGACTTAGTGTTTTCCCAAGACACGCTTTTGTCGCTTGTGTCTTGAGTGATGACAAAGCTGATCGAAACATAACATTTTATTCGCATTGTCTAAATATAGAATGTCAAGGTGCATGAATACACACACACACACACACACATGAGCTCACATGAGACACAGACGTGCCATCATCACCTCACTTTAAATAAGAGCTCATTATGACTCATTGCAAACAGTATATAATATTGGGATTATTTGAGATTTATAACCAAATAATGTCTTTATATATGACTAGAAAATATAGATGTGTCAGGTTTGTGTCTTCTGAAAGCAATGAGGCAACACTAGAACATATGCACCTCTTGGTAGTTGATGTTAGCCAGAAGGACAGCATCCATGTTGACATACTGTAGAGATCAGCACCTCCTGGACAGCCCCGGGCATCAAACTACTTTGCTCTGTAAGACTAACCCACCATATGGTGTCATCATTGGCCAAACTCCAAACTAACTCAACATATACTGTCTTTATTTCAGCACTGGAGGGAAGCCCCACAAACTTATCTCACTATTGCACTTCTGATTGGGATCTCAGTGCACATTATTTATTGTGGGCACACTAATTAGAAACATGTAATTTCTTGTCACTGATCCTCAGCTGTTGAGTGTTACATTATTTCCTTCTGATGTAGCACTCAAGAGCTGAGGATCAGTGACCATAAATTATAGAAATTGAAAAGCCATATTTCAGCAGTACACACAAAATTCTGGTACTTGGTTTATGATCTGCGGATAATGAATCCAATCATTTGACTGAAACTGCTATTATATGATGTGGAAGTGTGTGTTGTCCTTTGAAAGCAGTGGTGACTCATGTGGCACATATAAAGGCTGCAAGTCATGCATTTTATACCTAACAGGAAAACATGAAGAAAACTTGCGGGAATATGTATTTATCTCGTTACAGAGTACAAGCTTTAGACTGAAGTGAAATATTGTTCACACTCCATCAAAAATCTCAGGGAGTCATATACATCATCCAGGATTAAGTGTTCCTGCTACCTGCTCCTTGCACCTGTAGTGAAGGCTCAGTCATAATCCTGAAAAGAGTGAGACCGGGGCTGCCACTGCCAGCCACTCTCATCATAGCTGTGATTGTGAAAAGCAAAAGGGATTATATTAGTGAAACATGCTGATAAGGCAGGATAATGAATGCAATATTTTAATCAAACTAGACGAGAACTAATTTCACAGATTCTAGTTTTGATTTTGAGACTTACGGGTGGCCTATAGAAACGGTGAGACTGGCACAGTATGACTGCAGGACCAAGCTCAGCTTATGACAAAAAAACTCACTCCACATCCAAGACCAAAAGAAAAATAGGCCAGTCTTGGAGTCAGACTGTGCTGGTTGTTGACTGGTAATCAAAGTAACGAGACAGTTCAATGCCAAGAGTGTTGTATTGAAAATTGAATCCAGTCCAAGAGAAGTTTTAGATTCAATTGAGAGAACTGTTAACTCTTAATGACCCATATATTTTGAAGCCACTCACCAGTCACTGTAACAGCAACCAAAAATTAGAACAATCCTGAAATCATTGGCTGCAACTACTGCAACTGCTTGTTTTTATACTACTGTGATTTGTATAACAAGTTATAAAAGAATGGAATGATAAATTCACATGTACACTAAATATTGTACAATGATCGTTCAGGGGACAGGACAACCCTGAGAAGGAGTACTCTCAATCTCACTCGATAAAGGTCAATCATAAAATGGGTCAGCATGTGTTTGAATTCCAGACACATATGCAACCATTTGCATTTTGTTGATAAATGCAGCCGTTTTATGACCCTAAATGGAGACGCTGTAGGAAGTCACGTGTTGTTTGTCCTCGTCCCCGGAGCCTGAACAGCTCAGTTCTGTGCAGCTCACAGCGAAGGCGCGCACCCAGTCGGCCAGTGATGGGATTGGGCAAAGAGAGGGAGCGCTGTGCGTGTACAGAGACACGGGATTGGCAGATATGAGCGCCAAACTTGTTGACTCATAAGGGAGCAGCTCCTCTCATCATCAAGCGCGGAGCTGTCCACGTCCACTGGTGCTGAAACTGCCCCCTTCATACGTGCGCTTGGATTGATAATTAAACTTATTTGTTCTCACCAACAGCCTAGCGGAACTTACGGGATTTTCTTTACTTTGTCCTCAAGAGTTCAATCTTTTCGAACAACCTTTTATTGTTCGGGTCATGGCGTTTATGGTGAAACACGTGGTGGGCGGCCAGCTGAAGAACCTGACTGGAGGACTGACAGAAGAGAAACCCGAAGTGGAAAAGAATGATGCGGCCGCGCATGGCATGACTCCAGAAGAATTCGAGCAGTATCAGCAACAATTAGAGGAGGAGAAGTAAGGAAACTATATTCAATACGATTGCGGGATCATGAAACTGATAAATACATGTGTGCTACGTCTAAACTAGCGTGAGCATGATGTAATGTCGTTGAAAGAGGTTTTTTTCCCCTTTTAAAACAGGATGCGCTCTGCGCCGTGCGCGTTTTCACGCACCAGTGCAATAATGCGAGCGCTTAAGCACAGCTGCTCCACTCGCTCAGGGAGCTCTGTTTCTCTTGATGCACCCTCACGTATCATTGGCATTACTGTTTAAATGAAATCCCAGGTTGTTTCGAATTACGCGTGTTCGTAAAGGTTTGTGCGTGTTTGAACCATAGACTGTAAATATTGTTTGAACGTTTACATGTGGTACACAAATTACATTACTGTCAGTGTTGCATGATTCATAAGTGTAAGATGTCGTAATTAGTGTACAAAAAGACAATTATAATGTACAATATATAGGCCTAGTGCATTTGCTATTAGCTGTCAACACAGATTGATTGTTTGTCCTTGTGTGAGAGAGGTATTGAAATATTGTTCATAATACTTTGATTTGACAAACATAAGACGTGCAAAAGTCCTTCGGATCATTACCCACAAGGTCATCAGGAGTTCAGTGAATGCTGGCTGAAGAAGTCGTAAGAGGACATAAGTGGAGTTTTTATTCTTTAATGGTCACTTGTAAAGAGCTTGGACAGTCATGCTTGTTGTGGACACTCTAAGGTGCTTATAGTACAGTATGAATAAAACGTGTAAATCAAACCCTGTCAAACCCAACGCTCACACCACAATGGGGTCAAGGCATCATGCCCATCATGTGACCTTCAGTGAAAGTGAATTATTAGTCAATGGTGCTGAACAAGAGGTTCCCGGTAAAGCAGAAGGCTGGGGGAGGCTGCATGTCACAGAGAGACGTTTTATCGCGCTCCTCACCAGGCTGTTCTGACGACTGGTCATATTATGCCCTTGAGAACGTGGGCAGAGGCCTTTGTTCACTGACCACACGTATGATTCATTGTTGTATAGACTCTGTAGGTTCAAAACAGTCAGCTACAGCAATCGCCCGAAAAGTGTGTAACCAACACTTACCGTGTTGTTGAACGTGTGATCCCCTTGGCCTTAAGGTTGTTAGTGAAAAATGTTTGATATTCAATATAATATCATCTTTTCTCATTTAGAACAATCTCAATTTCAATTCAATCGTATTTTTTCAAATTGAAAATTAAATAACCTGTTTCTTAATATTACATAACTTTAAATATTCAACATCTTGATTGAAGATTGAAGACAGAGGATTGAAGATTGGCTATGGACCTCTCACCTATCACTCTTTGGGTGACAAAGAGTCTGTTTAGGGCACTATTTAGGGCAAATACAACATTTATTTGGTAGAAAATCATATATTGTCAACCCCGGCCCAAAATATCCATAGCAGTCCAAAGCACGTCCTCTGCTGGACATTTCAGATATTGTCGTTACAAAGTAAAGGCATTTTACTTTTGATTATGGTTTCATGTTGAGTTTCAGTGGTAATTTGAGTCCTGCTTAAATATTCCCTAATAATGAGTTTCTACTTCCAGCATGGGGCCATATCTCTAAGAGTATCGGGATTTGTGTTTTGTCATCGTCTTCATCCGAGTAGAAGATTGTAGTTAGCTAGCGTCTTCTGGAAATGATCACGATCTGGATAATCAACATATTATTCTTTTATTATTTGCATTCTCCACATCTGTGACCTGAATGCATTTTATGTGTATTTGTTTCTGCTATGCCACAAATTGTAAATGTAAAAAAATATTGTATTAAAGAAAGGAATTTGAAAATGAGTTTTCTCATTGTTTCTTGCAGAAAAGAACGAGAAGCCCAGTTTGCACAGAAGAAAGCTGAGAGGGCTACAGTCCGAACACATTTTCGAGAAAAGTACAAGCTGCCCAAGGTAATAATGGTATTATATTTTAGTGTTTAGTATAATTTCAAACTCAGGCCTGGGGCTGCAGGGGTGTAATGGGTGAATTTAATCTAGGCCTGTCATAACAAATGCATATTGTTAATGAAATATGAAATAATGTATCATATTAAAACAACATAATAGGGTCATTTAGATGTCTCCCACCAGAGAGAAAATATAATGTATTGGTGCTGGCAAACATGGCTATACACTGTGGTTGTAAACTACTACTGTAGCCACAGCTGCCTTGGAGCAGACTGACAGAAGAGAGGCTTTTAATCTGTCGAACACCACCAATCCTTCTATACCTGCCAGACTCATACGGCCATGTGGGTCATGTGTTTTACCAAAGGACAGCCACAGCCGCCCTGCTGTGGCACCTGGTGTTCCCAGAGGTCTCCCATCATAGTGCTTACCAGGCCCTGTCCTGCTTGGCTTTTGAGGTCTGACTGGATCAAGCTTTCACATGCAGGTGTCGCTGAATAAAGCAATTGTAGTCTGAAAAGAGACACTACATCTAAAGTGTTATCATATTCTTGATGAAAAGGATTATAGGATTTACATATTAAATAATATTTTATAGAGCTAATAAGGCAACACTCACTGTATTTACTGGTAAATAATGACCCTCAATAGAAGAGTTTTGGATTTGCCTTTGAACCCTGAATGACCCCTGTCAGTGTGGATTCTTATCACATGTGTTTTTGTGTGTGTGTGTTTACCTTTAGAATGAAAATGATGAAACCCAAATACAACAGGCAGGAGATGACATCGAGCTGCCCCAGGAGCTGGCCAAAATGATCGCCGAGGACGGCCAGGAGGAAGCCCAAAAGCAGTCTGTCCTGGGCCAACTGTCCAATATTCAGAATGTGGACATCGACCAGTTGAAAGACAAAGCCCAGGCCACACTGGAAGATCTAAAAAAGCAGACAGAAAATTGCAGTCTCATGTGATTTGGCAGCAAAAACACTTTCTGATGATAGCAGATATAGCTGTAGAATTATTTATTTCTTCTCAGAGGCAAAGCTGCTCACAAGCTGGAACTACTCTAGATGCCTTAGCTGAAGTTACTGGAGCCAAATATACTAGTCGTGCACAAATAGACTGAAGCCATATTGAAAGATGAATAATATAATTGAGGGCATTGACATTTAATGTTTAGCCTTTCTGCATCTCATTTACAGTACATTCCCCCGTTAAGACTTAACCATTCATGTGAGGCATTTCCAATCTTAGGAGCAGTTTCTTCTCTGACACCGAGTCAATCCTTTGCCCAAATGAATCCCTCTTTGTACTTCACAAAGCCGGTATTACTACAATATTTCTGAATGCATCAGTTGTACAACATAATATGTTTGCGCTATCAAAATCTAGGAAAGTAATTTGTTAATTTCATCTGGAACTGCTTGACATTGATACCAATTTACTATTACTACTCAAAGCACAATATAAAAACAGCAATATTTAGTAAAATACTAATAGTTTTACTACTGTGTAGTTCCTCTGGTTTTATAGGGATGTTTAGCTTTTCTGTATTTCAGTGTGCCTTGACATCTTGTGCAAGGTTGTAGACTGATATCCACAAACCACATGCTGCTACCAGCAACATCAGGCCCTTTGATCATTTCTACTGAAGCCTTTGTGATTCCATTGAAAAATCATTCTTTTGTTTGTTTGTTAACTGGCAGCAACATAAAAAGACAGGTTTAGATATCACTGCAGTACAGTGCATTTAAATCAAAGTCTTATTGTGTTTGTGCCAAATCCATTAAAAGGACAGGTTAAAAGTCTAAGATAATGAGCACAAGTGTGTAAATGCAGATGTGTGTGAATACTGCAGCCAAGTCTTTGCTGTGTATTGCACATGTTTTATTGACTTACTCCGCCCTGACCTGGCCCCTGCTTCTGTGGCTGTCCTCCTGTAGCCTGACCAGCCAGACTCTACCGTCAGCTCTGTCTGGTCAGGCTCGTCCTCGGCCCTTGTCCTGTGTCTGTGTGGTGCTGTTCTGTGCCGTGTGTGTTTGCTGGTGTAGAGTCTGTGAACCGTGTCCAGTGGCTACGGTGCCGTCAGTGATGATGGTGCGTGGTCACTCCTCTCGCTGTGCTGTCCGTGACGTGTCCAACATGTACATTACTGCAGTGGTTTATGAAAGGATGCTTCCCCATTCCACACTTCATATTGTGCTACATTTTGCTGGTTCAGTTTCATAACTTTGTTCGTTCTCTATAAAATACGACAGCTTTTCAATGTTTTGTCAACATGTTTTGAGTCTGTTTAGTTGGTGCCATATATGTGTATGGATGAACTTATATTATTATTGTGGGTGTTAGTGATAGGAAAAAAATAAAAAATATATATAGAAGGGAGAAAAGTGATATTAATACATTCCTAAAGCCACCATGTATCATTATGGGGCTGTAATAAAGATTGGAAAAGAAGCCATAAAGCAACTGTTTGCTCTGTATGCCTGTGCAATATAATCAATATTGATTACTGTTGTATCTATGTCCTGTCATCCTGTGGTTAAGAAATATATGGAAATGGCTGCCAAGACACGGGTTTCATGCTGTATTTCTTTCTTTTTTTATGCTGTTTTGAAGTGTATACTATTGTATTAAAGTCGCAATAAACCTATTTTTGGGCTCATTCCACTTTTTATCGTTCCAATGACATCTCACAGTTGGTTCTTCTATTTGAACACCAGATGGAGACATTTATGGGATTTCACATATGACTGGAGCCTACCTACTTCTGTTTACGTTTATCACAAAGTAATATGCTGTTAGGTATCTTTATATTCAAGCTGTCTTGGACAACACCTGCTTCTAAGAATATGATCTAAAGTGTGATCTGCGTTGGTGGATGTTTATACAGCCTTAACAGATAGAGATGGGGCAGCAGAAAATATATCTGGTTGATTTGCATGTGAATGGTAGAAGGGTGAGCTATTGGTAGTTTCAAGTGTGTTGTGAAAGGGTTTAGCTGTAAACTTTGTTGCTCCATTGATAGGCCTTAGTGCGTGAACAATCTTCATCTGAAGAGAGACTGGACCGCACCATGGCCAAGCTGACACAATTGGGGTGAAACGGGCCAGAAAATACTATTCTCTGCAATTCTCTTCCATCAATCACAGTGTAATGTTATGCAGAAAGATCGGCAGAGTAGGGAGGGGAGGGAGGCGAACGATTTCAATCTCCAAAAACAACACACGTTACACTTAGCTTTACTTTACATGATAGATGTGCAAACTTTATGTTCTGGCAACGGGATAGAGTCACGTGGCCTCTTTCTCCGGGCATGTGCATTGGGGAAGAAAAAAAAGTTTTAAAAACTTATCTCTGGCCTAAACGAAAAGTTATGCGTCTGCTTCGGGGCTTGGAGAGGGACCCACAGCTGACTCCTGCATGAATGACGACCAATCGCTGGGCAGAATTGTAAATGAGAGCCAGAGAGGGGGAAGGAAAAGTTTTCTTTCTTTTTTCAACAGAGGGAGGGGTGTTGTGGGGAAATGTTCGGTGGACCGTGAAGCGTAACAGCAAGAAAGAGGACAAAGACGCACATAGCGGGACAGAATCCAAGGGAGAGACATTTTAGACTAAAACTCACGGAGCGCACAAACTCGTGAGGGTTTGGGGAAACGAGACCCGATCTTGCTATGGCAAGAAACAAGAGTTCGGAGAGGGCTGTGGACGATAAGCGTGGTTAAGTGTGCGAGTTAACTTTGGACAGCCCCGAGGGGCTTGACTGCAGCCCTGCAGACTGCTGCCCTGCGGAGGTGGGCCTTCGGAATATATGGAGATACGTGCGCTCATCTGTCGTCAATTGAGCGTAAAAAACTAACTTTATGCGGAGTGTAACATTTCTGCTGACCTTCAATTACGGTATTCTGGAATGAAACTATTTCAACACTCTGTGAAGTGAAGTTTGGAGACGCCTGTTGTTGAAGTTGTCCCCATGTTTTGCTGATTGAAGTTCATTCCAACATGAGGTGGTGGTGCAGGGCCCTGGCCTTTCTCCCATGGGTGCTTGTGGCTCTGGACGCGCAGCTCATCTGCTGGCAGGCGTTGTTGCGGTGCCATGAAGAGCCTGAGTGTGAGCTCGCCTACAGTCAGTACTTAACAGCGTGTGATGGAAACCTTCAAGGGACGAGGCAGCAGTGTCCCAGCCACTGCATCAGCGCCCTCATCAGACTGAACCACACGCGCAGCGGGCCGGAGCTGGAGAGGTGCGACTGCGCCCAGGACGCAGCGTGTCTCAAAGACAAGAGGGCGATAGAGCCGTGCCTTCCGCGCAGACACCCAGGTGACGCAGGGGGCATCGGATGCATGGAAGCCCGACAGCGCTGCGAAGAGGACAGCAGCTGCCACACCTCCCTCACGGCCTACTTGTCATATTGCGGCCAGCTGTTTAATGGCAGGAAGTGCTCCTCCAAATGTAAAGCCACCATTCAGCAGATGCTCTTCATCCCAAACGGCAAACTGCTAAACCGCTGTGTTTGTGATGGGGTGGAGAGGCCCTTCTGTGAAGTGGTCAAGGAGAACATGAGCAAGCTCTGCTCTTTAGGAGACCACAGTGTCACATCAGAGCAGTCTGAGGTTGAGGACCTCTACGAGGACGAGGACTATGACCAGAGGAGCGACAAAGAGGACGTGTACCTGGACTACTCCTCTGCTGCTCACACCATGCCCACCTGTGTGATCCTCCTCTTTCCTTGTTTACTATGGATTTATTAAATATACTGTGTCTGTGTCTTCCCCATGAACAGTGCATTCCGGATCTAGTGGGGATTAGATTTACATCTCTTGAGCACATCTTTCATGGAGAAAGTGGAAACACATCTTCGTCCCCGGGCCATTTATCTATTCAAGCAGCATTCTAACTGCAAGAAAGAACATATTTATTAAGGCATTACACAACAAGGATTTTGTCTTGCACATCAATCTCAGGAAAGTGATCTGCATTTTATACTAGTGAATTAGGATTATTAATGCCATTTTCTAAAGCAGGTTAATGTGGTTTACACAGCTAGGGCAAATGTAATTTCCATGTTTTGTTACTGTTGTTAGTTTTGTTTGGTGTCAGTGACTGGGCTTTGACTTTATTAAGACCTTGGACACGTCCAGGCTGTTTGCTTTGCTCTCCATTTGGCTGGGCTGGTCATTGTTGCAAGAACCACACTTCAAATATTTGTGGGAACAGTCAAAGGACAGGCGAGGGTGTGGGATCAAGTACTTAAATTAACTAAAGCGCCTCTCCAGCTCTCTGTCTGGAGCCCATCCCCCCAAGATTGTTTTATTGAAGTTTTCCTGGACCCTAGACCTTCTCCCTCCTGAGTGGCTCCTGCTCCTGTGCCTTTAAAACACCTCTGTTTTTATTGCTTCTTTCACACCAAAGCAGCAACCCAGAACAACTTGTCTGTTGCTGCTGCTGGTGAGAATTACATAATTTGCGCCTGCTATTTTTCTTAGAAGCAAAGAAGAAAAAGGCTATTATACCATAGTTAGATGCCAAATGTTTTGGGAAGAATAGAACTGAAGTCTGGTTGAATTTCATATAAAGAAGTACTTTCTTGAAGAAAAAAAAACATGTGAATCAGGGAATGACTAAAAGAATCCAGATGTGCAGCCTTAGTCACACACGCTTAAAAAATCCAGGCTGCATTGCTCTCATGTTAACCTTTTTCTATTTTCTATTGTTGCTGGTAAAATATATGTTATTTAGGTATGTTGATTGATACTTAAATCCTTTTCTGTTCTGGACATTATTGAATGTTAACTTATGAAGCTACATTATGAAGAATTTGTAAATATTTTTCTAAGATGATGAAGTTTATGTAAAAATAAGCCTTTGTCTGACCACTGTACACGTCTGTACTGTACATTGTGATGACAAAAACATAATAACTTGATAACTGCCTAAAGAAACAGTATGTTTTATAATAAAAAGGTTAATGTCTTAATCTGTGTAGTAATTATACTGTTTTTTGGATGTTACACATTTGCCACAACTACTTCTATTCAACGTGCGCTGTCAAAAAAGATATAAATGCACAGATGGAGTATGCAGCTGTAATATACATTGGCCAATAGAATGTCCCTCAGAAAACCAGAACCAGCCAGTCTCTCCAGCTTCATTCTGGGATTCTAATCAATGTCAAACTCAGGCCCAAGGGCAAAACCCGGCCCCACGAGACCAATTTTTGTGGCCCTTGAAATTATTTTAAATGATCATTATTAAAATAAACTTGAAGCATGGTAGGGAAATTGGCTACTACGGCATGTTACACATTTTAAATTAAGAGTAACATCAGGAAAACAACCTGTGGAAAATCAACCTCACAGAGACACGACCGTTGCGCAACAGAGCTTTCCTGAAAGTTTATTCTCAGTTTCTTTCAGGTTTCAGGTTTTTTCAGACAGAACAAAGTCAGGACATGATTTATATGATTTAAAAAAAAAACCTGCACTACTACTATTGACGCTATAGCTGATTGCCACTTTTATTGTACATATATATCCTGCATGTACCATGTTTGCACATTTCCTCCTTTTGCACAATCTGAGTGTTCTATCCATGCCAAACGTGACATGTAAATTTCTCCTTGTGAGATAAATAAAGCACATCTCATCTTATCTTATATATTAATTATATATATAGTCATTTGTTGAGTCACAGATACGCAGTGATGGGAATAACGGCGTTACTAGTAACGGCGTTACTAACGCCGTTACTTTTTTCAGTAACGAGTAATCTAACTAATTACTTTGACAGTAACTATAACGCCGTTATCATTTCCGACATCCCGTTACTGCGCGTTACTCAAGACGCACAATGAACGTGTTGTCATGAGAGAAGGGAGGATGAGAAAACCTCTCAGCAATTATTGGCTGATGTAAATCATATTTCCTTTACAATCCACATGTCTACAGTTGAGAGGATGGCTCATAAATTGTGTTTTTGAAACAAATATGGGTCTTAATCGCGCTCAACCACGGCTTGTATCACCGTGAGGTCAGCCACAGAGGAGCGCATGTGAGCGCAGAAGTCGGCTGCATACAATTCCATCGATAAGCTCCTTGCTCTTCCTGGTTTATCTGCTAAGGACAGCAACAGGTTTGGCTAACATACATATAAAACATTTTTACATAATCTAAAATGCACATAGGGTAATTTTTCAATTACTATAGGAATGATAAGAAAGAGAGGTGAAGTGTAAGACGGTTGATTTTAGAAATTGGATGCAGCCGGCTGCAGCAAAACAGAGGAGTTTACGGAGGACACACGCGTTTTGTTTTACTTTTTAAAACTCATTGGACTCATTTCCAAATGGAGGATTACATATCTACGCTCAAACCATTCACTGGATTTAAACAAGGAACTGGTCTGAACCGAAGTGGACTGTGCAGGTCATTTATAAGGTATAGCTATAAGGTAAGACCCATAACTCATAGTTTTGCGTTTTGTATGAACAAACAATGCGGGCATAAAACATATTTTGCTGTAGCCAAACAAATTGTCCACTTGATTTATATGATGTATATGTTCATCTGATTGGACTGAAGTCAGTGCTTCACCAGCCTCACCGCTCGTCACCGGTGTTTCCACATTCACAGTGGCGGGCTTTACAGCACAGTGAGAGATGAAGAGTGAACAGGACTTCAGCAGCAAAACAGCCTTTTCTAGATGGAAATATTGGCACTGTTAAAGGTAAAAATGCGCACGTCGGGTGCACATTATGTTCCAGAACAAAACGAAAAAGTAACGCAATAGTTACTTTTACTGGTAACTAGTTACTTTTATAGTGGAGTAACTCCGTTAGTAACTCAGTTACTTTTTGGGAGAAGTAACTAGTAACTATAACTAATTACTTTTTCAAAGTAACGTGCCCAACACTGCAGATACGTCACACATAGAAAGGCATACGTGTCGCATCAAGAGACAATCAGAGCCATAACACGGATACACAATCGGAGTCTTTGTGACTGTGAGGGCCAGATATTTTGTCTTGCGTTTGTCCACCGGCGTAGGCCATAGTTATCTATCCACCATAAACCATATAATTGAATCAGTTCTAAAATGTTTACAAACTTTTAATTAGAAGTGAAGTTAGTAATTATAATTGAGACGAGATGTATTTGCAGACTTGTACTATCAGACTTCTTCTCGATATTTGGACCAGTTGTGGTTCAATCCAAACCTAACAGAAAATAATATACAAACTCACGTCAAATAATACTTTTTGCATCAACCAGCTCTTATGTTTTTAAATTTGGCTCCCAACCAAAATGAGTTTGACACCCCTGACATAGAGGTACCCCAATGATCTTTCTTTTATGACACTCCTGAACACTCCACTGTTTCAGAGTAGGAGTGACCTGGGGATTTACGCAGCCCTTGTCTCTCTCAAGTACAATGTTCTATTCATGATAGGCATCTAACTACAATGAATGGCTGACCCAATCAGAGTTTGGGGGAGAAATGGGGGAGGGAGCCAGAAGAACCCTAAATCCAGCCGTTCTTTATGGATGCGGTTCAGAAAAGGGATTTCTACAGCACGGGCTCTGAGACCGGAGCTGCAAAAACAGGCTGATTAAAGCCATGATGCTATAGTTTGCGGTCAGGCAGAGGAGACAAGGGGCGCCTTGATCATGGGATAGGAGAGATTTCCATTTCAGATTCATTCTATTTAGCTGCGGGTTGAGGACTCCACAGATATAGTCTTTTCTTGCTGCTGATGGTAATATAAATTGGCGGAACTCCCAGAAACAAGCAACAAAGTAGTGGAAAAAAGGTCAAATCTGAATCCAAAGTTTCCTGGCATCAAAAAGATCATGTCATAATTAACAGGAAAAAAGGCTGAGCCAACAATGCGAGTTCTCTAACCAAACCAATTACAACCCCCTTCCTCATACTGTGGCAGCGCTGAGTCGGTCTACAGCTCACGGCAAAGACCCCTCTGTTCTGCCCTACATTCTGGCTCCGCTTTCGACCGAGCAGGTCAGGTGTGCGTCATTAGCCAAGAGAAAACATGGTGCTCAAATTTCTTTCTGTTGAAATTAGATTTGAACAGATGTTTGGGGTTGCTTCAATCGTGTGTTATATTTGTTTAATATTTAGTTTTGAAGAGGTTTAGATTTTTTAAAGGAATGACAATTTTACGTTTATATAATACTTGTAAAGTACACTATCCAGAGTCATAGTATGATTATGAAATGTCCTCACTTTCCCTTGCTCACCATCCTCTTTTCAGCTTTCTTCCAGACACCCCTGTCACACTCACACTATTATAGGTAAATAGGTATATTTATCTATCAAGGCGCAAAGTAAAATAGTTTGTGCCATTTTCTGAGTTCATTGTGTAATAAATCCAGGGTTCTAATAACTTTTGCACATACAAAAACACTTTACAAAGTCTTTCCATTGAGTGTCTAGAGTGGAATAAAGAAAACATAATTTGATAAATCATTTTATTTCAAAAATAAATAAAAAAAGGAAAAAAAAGCAAAATCACAGCTGGTCAAACAGCCAATTTAAAAGTTTTGCGGCAGCGACATTGTGCCAAAAGAAACAGTTTTCTGGCTCACGTTTCTGTACTGTCAATTGTGTAATGGACTGCATAACTTTCGCATTTAGCCTAAAAGTTCACAGTTTACTGAATAGCATATCTGCAACTGTCCTTTAGTGCATCACACAAATCCTGATATACCAATTAGATAAAGAGAACCATTAAAATCACTGTGTCCCTTTTCATTACTGAAAAAATGCGGTAGTTCAAGTGGTGAAGAGGGCAGAATTAGTGGCCAATGTGCGGCAAACTTGTGGTCGACCCAAAGCAAAGGCAGCTAGTGTGCAATCGTAAAATTACAAGAAAAGATCAAGAGATAGCCGACATCTGTTGAGATATTTCAGTCAAAGTATACATTTCCCTAACATACGCAGTCATTGAACGCACCAGTCATGGAAGCCGTACAGTAAAATACAGTTCATTAACGTCAAGGCAAAATGCATGCTCGGCCTCAACGAGTGTCGCACTGCTATGAAATAGGCCAAATACTACATACAGTATGCTTTACCTGTAAACTGCACAGGCCAAGGTTCAAGTAGAGAGAATATTCCACATGCAAGCAAATGCAGGACAACGTGATCTAAATGTGTGTCTGCTCAGGTGTACTGGTATTTGCCTCGTCAGGTGATTGTTCGGCTGAAGCTTTATCCAAGATGGCTGGTTGCTACGGTGACGGATGTCGTCGCTTCCCCTGAACCACGTCTATTGCAAACAGCAGGCTGTAAAAAACAATGAACACATTTAAATGGTTTGGTAGTTTAAAAACAAACCACGATCGAACCAGGGGAGACCAATGTACAAAGGCAAAGGACTAAATTCAGCCAAATGGTGGTGTATATCAAAGGCAGGAACATTATGGAACACCTTACCGGAACACATACAGTGCCTTGCGAAAGTATTCGGCCCCCTTGAACCTTTTCGCCACATTTCAGGCTTCAAACATAAAGATTTTAAAAAATATTTTTTTTGTCATGAATCAACAACAAGTGGGACACAATCGTGAAGTGGAACAAAATTTATTGGATAATTTAAACTTTTATAACAAATAAAAAACTGAAAAGTGGGGCGTGCAATATTATTCGGCCCCCTTGCGCTAATACTTTGTAGCGCCACTTTTTGCTGCAATTACAGCTGCAAGTCGCTTGGGGTATGTCTCATTCAGATTTGCACATCGAGAGACTGGAATTCTTGCCCATTCTTCCTTGCAAAACAGCTCGAGCTCAGTGAGGTTGGATGGAGAGCGTTTGTGAACAGCAGTCTTCAGCTCTTTCCACAGATTCTCGATTGGATTCAGGTCTGGACTTTGACTTGGCCATTCTAACACCTGGATACGTCTGTTTGTGAACCATTCCATTGTAGATTTGGCTTTATGTTTTGGATCATTGTCTTGTTGGAAGATAAATCTCCGTCCCAGTCTCAGGTCTTTTGCAGACTCCAACAGGTTTTCTTCCAGAATGGTCCTGTATTTGGCTCCATCCATCTTCCCATCAATTTTAGCCATCTTCCCTGTCCCTGCTGAAGAAAAGCAGGCCCAAACCATGATGCTGCCACCACCATGTTTGACAGTGGGGATGGTGTGTTCAAGGTGATGAGCTGTGTTGCTTTTACACCAAACATATCGTTTTGCATTGTGGCCAAACAGTTCGATTTTGGTTTCATCTGACCAGAGCACCTTCTTCCACATGTTTGGTGTGTCTCCCAGGTGGCTTGTGGCAAACTTTAAACGAGACTTTTTATGGATATCTTTGAGAAATGGCTTTCTTCTTGCCACTCTTCCATAAAGGCCAGATTTGTGCAGTGCACGACTGATTGTTGTCCTATGGACAGACTCTCCCACCTCAGCTGTAATTATCTGCAGATCATCCAGAGTGATCATGGGCCTCTTGGCTGCATCTCTGATCAGTCTTCTCCTTGTTTGAGATGAAAGTTTGGAGGGACGGCCGGGTCTTGGTAGATTTGCAGTGGTCCGATACTCCTTCCATTTCAATATAATTGCTTGCACAGTGCTCCTTGAGATGTTTAAAGCTTGGGAAATCTTTTTGTATCCAAATCCGGCTTTAAACTTCTCCACAACAGTATCTCGGACCTGCCTGTGTTCCTTTGTCTTCATGGTTCTCTCTGCGCTTTAAACAGAACCCTGAGACTATCAAAGAGCAGGTGCATTTATACGGAGACTTGATTACACACAGGTGCATTCTATTTATCATCATCAGTCATTTAGGACAACATTGGATCATTCAAAGATCCTCACTGAACTTCTGGAGTGAGTTTGCTGCACTGAAAGTAAAGGGGCCGAATAATATTGCACGCCCCACTTTTCAGTTTTTTATTTGTTAAAAAAGTTTAAATTATCCAATAAATTTCGTTCCACTTCACGATTGTGTCCCACTTGTTGTTGATTCGTGACAAAAAATTAAAGTTTTATATATTTATGTTTGAAGCCTGAAATGTGGCGAAATGTACGTAACTGTGAGACCTACACCCATGGACCTCCCTAACATTTAAAGGAGTCCTGAAACATCTAAATCAAACCCGTCCTGCTCCTATAGTAGAAGTTCTGCTTTCTCTTCTCTTTTAAATTATTTATGTTGAGCTTGTCTAGTTATTGTTTGTATGTTTCCACCCGCCTTAGGACAATAGATGCAATTTAGCTATTGTGCTAATTCCAGCATATTTATGTAGACACTGTTTGCCGCACAACACATTGATTAATATGTACCGTCATGAATTCAAATAAATAAATAAAGATACAAAAATCAGATATATTTGAAGCATCCCAAAATATTATATTGCATCTTCAATGTAACTCCTCTTGAGCAACTGCTAACTGTAGTATGGCCATGACAAGGATAAAGGCGTCTTTGTTACATTCTATCAGTCCCTAGAGTCCTTAATTCAGCGCCTCAGTACAATCCTCGTAATTGCCGTTCCCTCCCGTAGAGACTGAGGACGTTATTGTAGAACTTTGAAAGGAACAATATTTGGTTCAGCATCAACAGTATATTGCGACATACGTGCTTTATTCTCCAGCTAGTATCCCTTCAAGGATTTCATGTATATTTTGAAAGCATTGCTGTGATTAGGTTGGTTTAATTCATGAATATTCTATAAAAACAATTCCTGCTAGATATTTTTGTTTGTACTTACAACTTTTCACAGAGTCTGCAAATGGCTCGCGATCCATGGAGACGTCACTCTGGGTCTCTTTCATCTGTAAAATGCAACATACAAAACTATTACTGTTTTGCAAAAACTTTATATTAAATTATCTAAAACACACTTACCTTGACATGCTTTTTGAAGTATTCAGCTCTGGCCATAAGAGTTTTAATCTGTCAGTGACAAACCATTAGTATGAGAAATGACTGCTGTATCAAAGGGAATGAACACAAACTATAAATGTTGTCACTGCAGAGTCTCAAATCCCAGGCCACTGATCTGGCCAAGAGCTGCTTGGTTTAGTTTAAGATAATATGTGGTCTAAAGTCACGCCAGGTAACATTTAATAAAAGTAACACATTTCTGCTTTAGACAACATCACAATCTTCTATGAGTATGTGGTTCTCAGAAGCAATTGTATGTTTCAGATGTAACTATAAACACAATGTCCATAATTCTGTATTGTATCCAAATGTGTATTCAACACTGTGCTATGTAGAAAAAGAGTTTTGTTGAGTAGTTCTCGACCCCAGCACAGATATATATATTGAAATCAGAAATCTTTTTTTGTCATTGTAAGTAACAGGAAGTCACAAACTAAGACTCTACTTTGGTATATGGTGCAAAAAAGTTATAAAAAAGGTTTAAAAATTAAATAAATAAAAGATATTAAGGCATGCATAAAAAATCTTAATAATGATATAAGTACCCCCAGTAGACATGCATTACATGTAGAATGCATTGCCAGCACTTGAATTTGAAACAGACAAAAGGTGGTTCCCTAAAACCAATCAGAGATATAGAGACTAATAAATCAGAAATAATTAGTATAATAAAGTAAGGCAAATGTCAGGAAATGTGTGTGGGAAGGCAGGTCGCTGTATAGAAAGTGCACTTTGCACTAAAGGGTTAATAATACCAGACAGTTTTGCTGCGTTATAAGAGACACAAGTTCAAGTCTTTGGTCAGTTTGTACATGCTCTGTTGGAAATATTATCTATAACGGCGAGAGATGAAGATGATTCATTCCATACATTCTGGAGAGGCCACAAAAGAAATGAGAAGGCCTTGGGTCATGTGATGATAAGACAGTATGTTGCTTTGATGTCGGCGATCGGCTAATGGGGCTGGCTACATTTGACAGATACTTTGTTCTGAGACCACTGGAGTGGCCAGAACAACCACTCACCTCACCGTGGAGCAGTTCTTTCCTACGGCCTGGAGGCTCGGCTGCTCACCACGAGGACACAACATGATGAGAAAGAGAAAAGGAGAGTGCATCCAATATGTCTGTAAGCTCTGTGTTTTCAGTGTTCTAGAGGACAGTTTTTTCCTATTACGGTACTTTACACAAGTAACACGGGATGTGTTACTAAACTGAAAGCGCATTCTTCCTGGGCCTGATCCAGATCAAAACCCACCTGCTTCTTTAGACTGATCTTCAGAAGCTCTCCTTCTGAAGATCAGTCGCTTGACACAAGGATGACTATGAGGCCGAAGTGAGCTTAGTTTTTCAAAATGTGCAAAATGTGGTTTAGACTTAAGTTAAATGTGTCTAGTACAACCAAAACAGTGCCTGTAATTGTAAATCATTATTAAATTAGCACTTTGGGTTACACTGTATGGATTGTGCTTTATACAAACTACAAAACTACAAAATAGCAATAATTCAAAATAACAATAAACTAAATATACCTGCTAAGGCTAAGAGAAGTTCACCAAGACATTGTTGATATAAATCTAGGGCTTCAAAATCATCTAATCCGCTCTCCTCCTGCAAAAGAGAAAGAATGTGAGATTAGGAACACAGTCTTTGTTCTGTAACACGTCAGAGTGTTCAGATGATCTACATGAAATCTAATCTATACCTTTTCAATAGCAGAAGATGCCATATCTAAGGCAGCCAGCAGCCGGGGACGGTCCCTTGACATTTCTGTACAAGAACAGACAATGACTCTATTACAATTGAACAAATGTGATTTAACCTTCCTTTTGAGCTCTGTATGTCGTATTGTTTAAGACGTATACTGATATGGGTTTGGTGCATTCCAAAGTGATTATCACCATTCATGATGCACCTGCAGATAGCACTAAACAGGAGGGTCTCTAGACCCTTGTGAGGGTCTAACAAAAAGGACAGAGGTGATGATCCAGGACACACAACATTCAACAACATTTATGTACATTGGTCATCAGCTCCTTATCGACCAGTGTTTTTTTTAATCATTGCTTTCTTGTATTTGACCTGTTTGAGGCTCTGATCTGTGTCGCCGAATTCAACGGTTTTATGAAGTCCTCCTAGGTTTGTTTTTTTTGCTCAAAGGATAATTAAAGAGTGATTCATAAGTCATTATTACACGCCTCCATTATTGGACACTAAGTCACCGAATCTTTTTGACAATTTGATTTGCACTTTAATGTTTATTTTTTCATTTTTTATTTTTTAAATAGTATGGTTCATTGTGTGTGGAGAAACCACTTCATAAACATCCGCTTTTGGTAATTTTTTGTTGGGTCAAGTTTTGGTCAAATTTTCAGATGAGGCGTTTATGAAATAAACCTTGATATTTCTCTATAAAAAAACAGGGTATTTTGTTTGTAATACATAATGAGTTGTGATACCTCGCAGAACATCCCTTGCAGTTTGGGCTTCTTCAAAGATCAGTTTGTTGTCAGATGCCATCAGTGCTTTTAATTCTTCTGCTCTGGACACATACTGGCTGACCTTTTGAGGCAAATTAAACAATCATAGTAAATATCTAAAAAGAAGTTTCTGGGGTTTCACCCTTACCTTTTGCCTTAAAGAATCTTTGCGGAGCCGATCTGTTTCATCTAGGGAAGGACAGCGCTGTTATTCTTTATTTAACACGATGTTCAAAACAACAAAACATTATCTTAGACCAGATATGATACACAGCTGTGACTCTTACAGTAAATAGCTGGCACAAAGTGCTCTAGAGCAGTGCAGTAAAAAGAGAGAGCAGCACTCCTATCCCCCTCCTGATCCTTCTGAACAGCCTGCATTACCAAGTCTTTCTGAAAAGAAGCAAAAGAAACCATAATGAATGCAAACTGTGGCAGCTTCCCACTCTTTATGAATGTATGGATAGAAATGAGTGAATGGAACATGTGCTTATTCAATCACAACCATGTCTCTCCTCATATTCTCTTACTGCTTTTCCAAGACTCTCTACACTCGGCATATGTTCCAAGTCCACAAAAGGGTGCGAAAAAAACTCTGCAAAAGTGATCCGTGCATCTGGATTTCTCTCCAGTAAACGCAACAGCAGGTCTCTGCAGTCTTTGGACACCCTCGTCCCTGATGGGAGCTGGTTCAGGAAACACAAGATATTTGTAATTTTGATCATTATATAATTAGAATAACTTTGGCATATTTGAAAAATGATATCATTGAAACTAATTCAATCATCAGATAACAGTTAGAAGGGACCATAGCAGGCCAGGTTTCTAGGTTAATAGAGCAAAGTAAAATGATGCCATCTAGTGGTTGGGAGAGATGTGTCACCTATACTTACTTCAATAGGCTGATTACTGCGAATCTTGTCCTCCAATTCGGAATATGATTTTGATGCAAAGGGTGCACGTCCAAACAATGCCTCTATATATTGTGTTTCAAGTGAAAGCAAATTGTGTTTAGAATATCTTTTGGATGAGTCATGTTACATTTCAAGAGTAATAGTAACAGTAACTCACCATAAAGTATCACACCCACGGACCAGAGATCAACTCGAGAATCATACTGCCTCCTGCAGACCATTTCTGGAGCCATGTACAGCGGGGAACCCCGCAGGACACTCTGCTCATCCCAAGGGGACATATGCTGAGCAAAGCCAAAATCTTAAGAAAGTAATACTCTAAGTTATTGAATTATGAATAATTTCATTAAAATGTTATTTGCACAGTACACAGTGGATCTTAATAAAATATATTAAGGTAACGTACATACCGGCTAGTTTAAGAACAGATCCGCTTAGTAAAATATTCTGGGGTTTTAAGTCAAGGTGTGAAATATTTTTCTCATGAAGAAACTGCAGAGCACATGCTGTCGGCACATAGGAAACAGAGCAGTCATCATATCGACTCAATAAACAGTGGTGGGGGTAACTCAATTACAAACACTTCAAACACTAGTTTACTTTTTAGGTTGTGTGACGCAGTACAATATACTTTTTGAATGCGAAATAAACCAGAGATAATGACTGCAGCCAAAAAAACACACACACAACATCTGCAGCAGTGAAAATATGTACTGTTTTTAAACGTATCGTGTGTTTTACGTTTGTAAAACACACAAAAAGGCAATTGAATAAATTAATTATTTTACAAATAAAATAATCCCTAAGTAATGTAAACTACGTTACTGTACCTAACTCATTTTTAAAAAGAAATTAGTAATATGCATGTAGCTAATTAACCAATTTTGTGAAGTAACCCAACACTGTCAATAATAAAAATCGTATTTAGAAATCTGAGATTAAAAACAAACACTGAATTACCTATCTGTTGTAAAAAACGCCTTGCAATTCTTTCAGGTAAAATTCTGCGACTACGGATGAAGCGGGATAGGTCCCCTCCCGAACACCACTCAAGAATCAGATAAATGTTTTCTGCATCCCACTGCAAATACATTTAGGATAGAGCCCGTTTGTAATTTGGCAGCAGGCTCTGATTTGATCTCACTCATTTTGTTATAAAATATCATATTCTGTACCTGAAAGTCTTTAAGCTGGACTATATGCGGATGTTTTATTGTTTTTAAAATCTCAATTTCGGTGAGAAGATTTTCAGTTGAAGCCTTATTCAAAGTCCTTTTCCCAACTACTTTTATGGCAACGACTTCTCTGCTGTCACCCTAGATTAAAAAAAAGGACAAAGATAGAAATAAATACATATGCAGACAGACCACACAGACCAGCCACGTACCTTTCTGTAAGCTTTGTAAACTGTTGCATAGGTCCCAGAGCCAAGGCGCTCTGTGAGTATGAAGTTTGCAAGTTTAGGAGGTGCAAAGCTGGAGGTTGAGGCCATGCTATCAAAGACAAAAATTATACATGCCACACCTGAAAGATTAAAAACAGAAAAATTAAGACTAGTAGTCTTTGGGTATTTTGGCAATAAAACATTTAGTTTTAAGTGATTGTCATCACTCTTGTCACCAGTCAACCGGAAACCACCAGCCCCCCCAAAATGACTTCCCTCAAAATACCACTCCTCCCACTCCTCCTTTCTGGTCAGCCCCTGAATGTATCACAAGAGCCTTGTAAAGAAACAAAATACAGCAGATTAAGCAATACAAGAGAAGTTTAGCTGTATGACTCAAATAAAATGTAAATGATGATTTGACACTAAAAACATGTACAACTACTCCCATCTCTCTGAGGCCAGGACTCCTCTGAAAGGATATTCTGAAATCTCAGTGGGACTCACCTTGTTAAATTAAAGTAATAATTATGAATCCAATGAAATTATTTAGAATTGCACATTATCATATACAACAACTTCCATGATTGATAAAGCAACATACAGACATTCGCACACACATAGGATACAGACAAATTAAAAATACAAATGAATAGATCATTTAATTTTAAGGAGTTTGCGTTTATCCAAGCGTTAGCGTTGGCTTTAGCAGCAGCTAGCTTGTTAGCTAACTTTTCTGTAGCTCTAGTTTATGTTGGCTACATTACGTCCACGTCCATTCAATTTGAAAGGATTTTACATTAAATTGTTTAGTTAGACATTTAGATAATAATTTTGAGACTTGCCTGAGTCAGTTCAATGTTTACATATCCAGAGGCTCGAACAGGCCAGGACACACAAGCCGAACACCGAGGAGGTCGATGAGCGAACACCAACCCGATACTGCCACCCAGAGTTCAGTTCAAGCAGCACATCTCATCGTCAAACTCTTTCAAATAATTTTTTAAAAAACATTAATACTTAAAAAGAAAAACAATACTAGTGATTATTCGAAGTATATGAAACTATATTAAATAAAACGTAAGAAGTGGGAGAAGCAGTAGAAGTAGCAGTAGCAGTTATTAAACTATAGCGTAAATAAACACAATAAATAAAAAATATACAATAAATCAAACAATAATGAAATAGAAAAATAAAAAATATGACCGGATGTCTTCTTCAGTGGGCCACAGTTGTTTAAAGATGGCGGAGGTCCTTGCCGCACGCCTGGCTGTCCAAGAGGAACAAATTAAAGATCTAACTCTGGAAATAACAAGTCTCCGCGATAGTTTAGGTCAAGGATTTTATGCAGATGGGCAGGATTTTGCTTCCCCAGAGCTGGAGACCCTGCGGACCGAGAATGAGAAGCTGAAATACCGGCTCGTGCACCTCCGCCGTGGTGTGCAGGCGGAGCTGAAGCTAGTGCAGAGAGTGTGTGAGCAGATCCCTGTGAGAGCCTGCGACCAGTACAAGCCCACCAAGAACCAGGAGCAGTGTCACAAACCTGCCAGTAATAAGAAGGTAGACAACTGTTAAAAAGTAACACGGCATAATTCGTCTGACTATTGGAATAGTAAATGTTCGACTCCCATTGAATGCGTGTTCGATTCTTGGGTGGACAACAAAATAACTCGCCAGTGGTTTATCTAGTAACCACAGTGATCACACCATGGGTTCAGAAGGCTTTACCATCAATGTATTGAAAAAGCTTTACAGGACTGATCCATTCAACGTGCTCACCTGTCAACCTGGTCTTATTGCACCTAGATAATCTATGCCTTATATCGAGGTGTCAAACCGGTTCCAGTAAAGGTCAGTGTGGCTGAAGTTCCGGCCCAAGCAGGAGCACACCAGACTCTATCCATTTCCTAAAATCTTCAGGATAAAACTGCACCTGGGTGCAGTCTGCTGAGGTTGGGATTAAAACCCTTTGGGGACACCCCTCCCCTTTAAACTCGGGACAGGGTATTTCAGCCACCTTTCATGGAAAGATGAAATGGCGCTTTAATTTTAACTCGTAATAATGCCTTACACTTATTGTAATTGTCAAAGCCTCTGCAAGTGCTATACTGAAATAATTCTCTTAATCCACTTGCAGTGGTTGTAAACTTAAACTAGTGTAGTCACAGCTGCCCTGGGATAGAATAATGGATTTGAAGCTGCTTGTGTGGACCATTGTCTCAATCTACCACCATAATTTTCTCAAACTAGAGTCACACTATCGTTCATGGGTTGACAGAAACCTTACTACGTTTTAAAAGCTTGGTCTAGCCAGAGGTATTAAACCTTTATTACTGAAGCATGAGGCCACTCAGGCAAGATGAATATATCGCAAACAACAACTCAGTTATTTTTAAGAAGTGGTACTAACAATATATTTTGTCAAAATAAAATTGTATGTGATGTCTACACAGGAGAGGAAAACGGATGATTCAAATAAGATAAAAAAAAAACAGGAAAATGCTGCGAGTGGTGTGAAAGAGGTAAATGTGTATAACACATGTATGTACAACAACATTTAGTAATATTCCTTTAACTTTCATTTTGATAGCTTAAGCCATGGCCTGAGTACATAAAGGATCGCCTCAGCCTTTATGATGAACTAAAGAAGGAGAGTGATGCTTTACTCGCTCAGAGAGCTGTCAAAAACACGCCCATCAGCATAGAGCTTCCAGATGGCCAAAAAATAGCAGGCAAAGCCTGGGTCACCACACCATACCAACTGGCTTCAGAAATCAGGTTGGTACAAGTTTGACACATGATTTTTAATGTTAATATGATTGATTTTTGTATCTGTATATTTTTGTATTTAGCCAAGGTTTAGCTGACAATGCCGTAATTTCTCGAGTGAATGGTGAGCTTTGGGACCTGGATAGACCTCTGGAACAGGACTGCTCTCTTGAGATCCTACGCTTTGACAATGAAGATGCTCAGGCGGTCTGTCGCATGTCAGAATGTAATTTTCATAAAAGAAATGTTTTGAAACAGATTTATCTTATCGTAGGTTTACTGGCATTCAAGTGCGCATATCCTCGGCGAGGCCATGGAGCGCTTTTATGGGGGCTGCTTATGTTATGGTCCACCAATTGAGAATGGGTTTTACTATGACATGCATTTAGATGGACAAAAGTAAGTAATATTTGTCCCCCTTTTCAACAATGTATTATTGAATTAAGTTCATTCATTTGATAAATCACTCAAAATTATATTCTGGATGATATGATTAATCAGGGGAGTGTCAAGTACTGAGTTTGGGGACCTGGAAACATTGTGCAAGTCGGTGATGAAAGAAAAGCAACCATTTGAAAGACTAGAAGTCAGCAAAGAGACACTACTCAAAATGTTTAAGGTATTACATTAAAGCAAATTTTATCAGATCTTTTTTGAACATAGATACATTGTTCAACTGTCCACACTTTCAGTACAACAAGTTTAAAGCTCGGATTCTGAATGAGAAAGTAACCACCCCAACCACTACAGTGTACAGGTATTTGCCTGGAATGTTATGCAATATAAAGGGTTGTCTGGTTTATTATTTTGGAATTATTTTTTTCTATTTTTTTACAGATGTGGACCCTTGATTGACTTGTGTCGAGGTCCCCATGTTCGACACACAGGCAAGATCAAAGCTTTGAAGATTTATAAGGTAATGTCTGAATTAGACGCCTGATTTAAGAAGGGATTTTTACTGACATACTTTTAAATGCAAGAGTTACTTTCCCAACTCCAATAAGAATACATCATAATAAAGAAAGTTGGTAAAAAAATTTATGTATGCAAGATTTTTTGGGTCACAAGACTCATGATCAACATGTACAAATCATAAATGGCCTTTTCGCATCAAAGTTTTTGTTCTTATTTATATATGGATGGATTTTTGGATATCCCTAATTTAAAATAAATCCAGATTCTTCTTATTAACATGTTCAAATGGATGAAAAATGTGGGTGTCTCAAATATAAGGCGTCTTTTTGCTATACTTGCAGAGGGTTTCACAGTATTTAACTGTACGGAAAGCCTCTTCACTTCACATGATCTTTCACACAAAAAAACAATTTTCTCATGCTGCATGTGCACTGTTTGTGCTCCCTCCTTTCAGAGGGAAGTGAGATTTGAATGCACTGACTTTAGAGGCAAGAAACCTTGTATTAGAGAAACCGCTTGTCATTTTGGTTCCCAGTATCTTGGGATTAAATCCAACTGGTTTCACCAAACAACTGAAACCCCTGCAGCTTCAGTACATTATTAATCAGAGCTGGAGCTGGAACAGAGTGTGTGCTACATACAGGTTGAGACACTGACAACACAGGTTTTTATTGTAACTGTAATCTATTTGCAATCTTATATTTAAGATCCGCTCTTGTGTATCCCTTGTACATAGATGTTTTGCTTTTAGAATTTTGTATGTTAATTATAGACATTAAGACAAGCAAATGCCAGTTGTAATAATGGGTTGTATGTAAAGATACAGTAAAATGCAGTACTTTTAAGCATCCAAGGCAAAGCAAAAACCATATAATATAATAAATAACTACTAGTTTGTCATTGTCAGAATTCTTCAACATATTGGGAAGGTCGCTCCGACATGGAAACATTGCAAAGGATCTATGGGATTTCTTTCCCAGATTCAAAAATGTTGAAGGAGTGGGAGCGGTTTCAAGAGGAGGCCAAGAATAGAGACCATCGCAAGATTGGCAAAGTAAGTTGTTGTAGGCAGTCACGTTCAGCTCTGAGAGCAATATGGAATGTGAGAACAAACGCTATCTTTAGCCCACACTGAGGCTTCATGGGACTGTAAAATGGCCTTCATTGCTGAATCAACTCAAGAAACATACATGATGGACATAGATTTTTTTCCCGATTTTAGATTTTTTAAAACATTTTATTACAGAAGTCATCTACTTTGTGGCCCATCACACATTAAACAAATTAAATATTTTGAAGATCTCAATTCCAATTGAATTCCATCTAATTCCAAAAAGCCGAGCCAAGCAAGCAGAGCATGGTCCCCAGGCGCTGTACTGCGACGACCACTGCTCCTGATAGACGCCCTAGTGGCATCAGGATGGGTCAGTGCAGAGGATGAATTGCCCTACGGGGATAAAGTGCTCCTTTACCGTTTATGTAACCTATGTAAAGTCGGTGGTGACACTGCTGCTCAACTGGATGATACTTATATTGTAACACGACTATAATGTTTATTTTAATGTCAATTGTTGTAATGATGCCATGAATCCACTAGAGAGCACTATAATCCTGTGTGTACACTTGTCATTCTGTGACACTGGTTGACAAGAGTAAATGGTACTGATCTTCAGGTGCACACAATTCACCTCAAACACTTAATAGTTAGGACATAAATCAATCTACAGTATTTCTCTTTGGTTCTGTTTTTAGTGCTATCCAAGCATAACTGTGCTGAAATTACACTGTCATTGATTTCAAACAAAGCCATTCAGACGTTCATAATTACCATCTTGCTTATACCCAGGTGATTGGGCTTTTGCTGTTTTGGCAACCTCTTTTGAGTTCCTCAAGCAAATACTTTGTCTTGGAACATTCAAAATAGGTCTAAAACCTCTCTTGGAAAGCTTTTTTTTATCCCCACTTTATTTGTTTTTTTGGAGCTGTTCTCTCCAGATTGTATCATTTTTTTTCTGTGTCCTATTTGATGGTATTGTATATATTTTGAAGATTTATTTCTATTTCCAACTGGAACAAGATCTTTTGGTGGTGTTTCATCACAGGGTTATAGTTTGCCTGAAGCTTTCCAGGTGTGATATTGTGTGATGACTGAATTGCGCCCCACTGCACAGGAGTGTCACTCCTGTGCAGTCAATCGTTTCACTGGATGTACCTGTGGATCTGCTGAACATGTGAACTCATTAAAGTATATTTTTTCTGTTTTCTTTTACAGGACCAAGAACTTTTCTTTTTTCATGATCTCAGCCCCGGTAGTTGCTTCTTCATGCCTCGTGGAGCATACATATACAATACTCTAATAGAGTTCATCAGGGTAAGTTATTATGTTATTGAGGTCTCCTCAAACCTTATATCACCTCTCATGTACATGACATCTGAGATTTTCAATTGGAAAATTGGCACAAGTTATTTTTAAATTCTTGAGTGCTCGGTTCTATTGACACCATCTTGTAGCTTTGTGAATAAAAGCCCAGAAGACCTAATGTCATCCAGAGAAGTTTGTCATCAAGTTTATATATCCAGTTTGTGTCATATATTTGCAGAGATGTGTTCGAGTTTCACTCAGCGCCCTCACACATGGCCAAGCAATCCGCACATACATTGCAAAAATGGTGCAAGATCGTTATCGTGTCACTCAATCTGTTACCACAAGGACGTGAAGGCAGTGTTGTGCTTTGGTTTCATGTTTCTCCATAATGGACTCAATGATGCAGGGAATCCATTAATCAAATTATATGATTTAAAAAAAAAAAAAATGCAAAACTGTAGCTTCGCTGTAATAATTGTGGCATTGGTTTCACCCAGATTGTCTGAAGGCTTTGCATTAACTTTTGTAGAGACACTTCATGCCTACAAAAAATTATGAGTATGATTCATAGGTTAAAATATTGCATTTACCATATGGTTGTAAAGTCAATAGATTACTCTATTATAATAATCCACAGCTGCTGCCCTACAAGGATTTATTACATTTTAAAGTATGGTTCATTTTAATCTAGTGTAACCTTCCTAAATATAATATATATGCATTTTGCAGTAATAAATACACAATATAAAACTATGCTATCCATCATTACTTAACATTGTTTTGAACCATGGAAATAATATCATGCCTTATGTCAGCATTCCCTAGTCTTTTTGAGCCGCAGTACACCTATTTTATTGAAAACAATCACATGGGACATCACCAGCTGAAACTGATACAAACATGAAACTCTGCAGCATCTTTATTAGCAAAGTCATTCTCATCAGAGAGTATTATATTGGAAAAAAGGCACAAAGGCACATCTCAAGGCACACTAACCTGCCACAGCACACTGGCTGAATTTCTTTTTCATATATCAGTAATAAACTAAACGCCCCCTTTTTTCTCAGAGTGAGTATTGGCGAAGAGGCTTTGAAGAAGTTGCTTCCCCCAACATATACAACAGCAAACTCTGGGAGACATCTGGCCACTGGCAGCACTACAGTGACAACATGTTTTCTTTCCCTGTGGAAGATGAGGTTTTTGCCCTGAAGCCAATGAACTGCCCTGGACACTGGTGCGTTTTCATACATGGTGAAAATGTCAGCCTAATAATAGTGTGTTATTCAGTGTATTTTCTCTGTGTGTGCATCTTTAGCCTCATGTTTGGCCACAGACCTCGCTCGTGGAGAGAACTTCCATTGAGACTGGCAGACTTCGGGGTGCTTCACAGAAATGAACTCTCAGGCACTCTGACAGGACTGACCAGAGTACGTCGGTTCCAGCAGGACGATGCGCACATTTTCTGCACCATGGACCAGGTACTTTGATGTTTGACCAATATTGGAGTTTTCATTTAGCCTTTTGTCTAAAAGAAATGTATTGTTTCTAGATTGAGGCAGAGATGAAAGAGTGCCTGGACTTCCTTCGCTGTGTCTATGCTGTGTTCGGGTTCTCCTTCCAACTCAACCTTTCCACTCGTCCTGAAAAGTATCTGGGTGATATTTCTGTGTGGAATCAAGCTGAGAAGGTACATGCTAGTTTCTTTGTCATTTTTCATTTTCTCATCATTGCTTTTATTACTGTACATTTAACCTGTCAAATGCCTGGGGTTTTTTCACTACTGTAATTACAATGTATTATATTTAATGGTATATCATGCTATGTACTGTATTATATTAGCAACTGGAGAGCAGTCTAAATGACTTTGGGGAACCATGGAAACTTAATCCTGGAGACGGGGCATTTTATGGTCCCAAAGTAAGTATTTGCTTAGTCTTTGTTGATATGAAATCTTAAATTTGTATGTGAAATCTTAATAAAACATTTTATTCAGATTGACATTAAAATTAAAGACGCCATTGGCCGCTATCATCAGTGCGCAACGATTCAACTGGACTTTCAGTTGCCTATTCGCTTCAACTTGACGTTTGTGGGGTGAGTCAAGCTAAAAATAAAATGTGTGTACTGTGTAATATTCTAGTGGTGGATCTATTTTCAACCCTAATTGTTTGTTAATTTCAATTGAACTTTATTACAGACTCTAGGTCTAATTCTTGGTCCAGTTTATAAAGGCACAAGGGAAAAAAATCTCCTAGAATATGGTCTCCGTTAAATGTTTTTTGTCATACTTTTTTTCTCTTCTGACAAATAGAAAGGATGGCGATGACAAAGCCAGACCGGTCATCATTCATCGAGCCATTTTGGGTTCAGTGGAGAGGATGATTGCTATTTTAACAGAAAATTACGCAGGAAAGTGGTAAGTTTACTTGTTTGTATAAAAATGCTTCATGCCGTTTTCTCCCAATCCACATCCATACGTTGTCTTTAGTCAATAGGACAACTCCACACATTTAATCCATACCCATACGTTGACTAAGTTTTCAACGTTTTAATACATTGTTTATTCTTTATCTAGGCCACTGTGGCTTTCTCCATGTCAGGTGATGTTGGTACCTGTTAATCCATCATTGGAGGATTATGCAAAAAAGGTAATGCAGTACTCGATACAAAATGCCGTTTCACTTCTCAAAGTCTTGAGCGAATTGCTGACAACCATACATCTCCTTTTCAGTTGTGTAAGCAGTTCACAGATGCAGGTTTTAATGCTGAAGCCGATTTGGACTCTAGCTGCCTCTTGAATAAGAAAATCCGGAATGCACAGTTGGCCCAATATAACTTCATTCTGGGTAAGATTCGCTTTTTTGTGTTGAGCGGGCTACTGATTGTTGATTGCGTCCTTCAGCCCTTCAGTATGTTACACAATCAGTACTTGAAGAGCATGATTCTCTAAAAATAACCAAATGCTAGGCACCGTAATCAACTTTCTTTACACTGTCGCCCAATAGGGTCTTGATTCATTTTACCAAAACATTGCGCCTCTTAAATTGTGGTGATTTCTATGCAAGCAATCTTTAGAGATTTGGACATGTAATGGTAGCGATGCTCTGGTAATGTTATTAATGCCAAAAATGAAAATGATGTCAAGCTGTTTGTCCGTGTCTTGGCAGTGGTTGGAGAGAAGGAGATGATGACTAACAGTGTCAATGTGCGCACAAGAGACAACAAAGTCCATGGAGAGATGTCGGTGGACGATGTTCTGAATCGCTTGATATTTCTTAAACAGTCTCGCTGTCAAAGCGCTGAAGAGGAATTTTGATATACATTTCAATCGAGATGGGTTCAAACAGGAAACGTGACCATTGGATATGGATGGAGATACATTACATGGGGGTGAAATGCTGAATAAGAAAAAAAAAATTGAATTGTTAAAAGTTTGCAAAGGAAAGACGTCGTTAGTATTGTCAGATTAAACCTGTGATGTAATATAATAAAAATAATCTCTTTATTTTTATGTATTTATTTGATTGCAATGTACGTACACAATTGAACACATGACACTATAATGTAACAATGTTTTTGTTTCATATCATTGACCTTTGTATTATGATATCTATGTTATTTTAAAGCTTCACCCTGTAATATTTTGGAGGTGGTTGTTGAGCTGTATGATTCTGTGGAAATGTACACACACTGAAAAGGTCTACAGAGATACTTTTCATGCTGTGGAGGACCTTAGCCAAAGCAATATTTGTTTTATAGAAAGGAGCAAGAGTGTCCCTTATTCAATTCAGGTTTTGAAAATGCAAGCTAAGAAAGGACAAAAACAATTGTGTTGACGTTTTAGCATTTTTTAAAATTTTCAAATTACACACCAGCTCTTGAAAAAAAATAACATGCGAATATTACCAGGTTCCTTTTTAATCTTCAAAAATGAGACATGTTACAGTTGCATTATATTCCTACAAGGACTTGTACTATCACCCATACACCTCAGATTAAATTAAATGTATGAAAGTTTCACCTCCATAACTTTTATTTTCATTTATTTAGTATTGATTGTGTTCCCCCTGCACTTGAACGCAGCACAGCAGTAGCGCAGAGGCTGATCTCTGCTGCTGCTACAATGGCTCCTGGCTCCGTGTGGAAACCTGACCGGGGACGCTGCTTTAAAACGTATGGAGTATTAGTGTTATTACTCTTGGATCTAGTGGCACAGGGTGTGAACGGTATGTCAAACTTTCTCCACCTAAAAAGGGAGAGGGGAATCTAGCTAGGTTATGGTAACTGTTGTTAGCCTGCGTTAGCCACCAATCTCTTAGCATTGCCTCAACAATCCTCTTCTAAAGCATATTTTGTGTCCGTTTGATCATCACATCACACGTCTGTATGGTAATAACCTAACATTGTGTAACATTAATATGATGGGGTGTGTTAAATGATTTCGTTTAACGTCAGATAGAAGTCAATCGATGTCATTGTGGAGCGTTCAAGTGTTCTTGTCACAATCGTATTTTATTTTCCTAATAGGTTATTTGAGATCTTCACATGTTGGGCCAGAACCTCCTTACACCAGGGATTCTCAACACGGTCCTGTCATCACCAGTCCTGTGGTGCCTGCAACGGCATCAGGTCTGTGGTAATATTGAGTTATGCCACGCTGTTTGCTTGACCAGCCATGATCAAACTTCACGCATTCGCAATAAATTATTAATGTTTATTTTTATTTTTTGCAGTATTGCCTACAGATGAGGAAAACTACATTGACAAATGTCCAAGTGGTGGACCCTGTAGTCTTCTGCCTGCTGATTGTATAAACTGTAATTTTCAACACAACTGTACATATGGGGATCCAGCCTCATTCCAATGTCGCCCTAAAAAGGGTGTCCACTGTAATGTAAGTACATGTCGTTTCATTTTTAAATTCCTCACTTAGTATTTTCTACATGCGCAATACAATAATGCTTTACAAGGAGGCTTATGGGCCGTGTACTTTTGCGTTCAATGCATTTTCTATTTTTGAAGGGAAATGGAAAATTGAAAAGGCTATTTTGCACTTTCAGGCACACGGCAATAAACAAAAATGACCATTTTGGGTTTTTTTTGTATTTCTTACAAGACATTTAACAAATAATAACTGGATTTGGGAACTTTAAAATGCAATAATTAATGTTTTATTTATTTTGTATTTAATACATTTCGGCGTCTATCGATTACCCGAAAGTGAAACGAGTTTGTTTACTTCAGCACGGGATTAGTATTACCTGTGGACCCCATAGACTGTATATAAGTGGACCCCTAGTAATTAGTGACAATCGCGAACGACGTCTGAGATCTTGCAGTGCATTCACACGGGATAAGCAATGTCTGTAAATGACTATATTTTCTCTGACATCTCACATAGCGGCCGCACGTGCGCGGCTCTCCCCGCCTCACGCAATTCATAAAGACTGGCGTCTGACCACAGCAGCCACAGGGACCATGAAGACAAGCAGTCTATTAGAGAAATGTGGATTTTACTGCTCTACAGTGCTGTCTGTAATGTTTATCAATGCTTTTATACGGACTACCCATGAACGCACCACATACTATGCGCGCCGACAAGCAGTAACGGTTGCATCAACACGTCTGTACTGTATTATGACAGAGTGCAAAGTAAACGTACAAATGCAACCCATCGGTCTGATCATTTTATGTCAGTGAATACATTACACTGACCTCTACACTTCTCCATTGACCTCACAGAGACAGCAGCAGCCGCGACTCTGCTGCTGTGTTCACAGCTGTGATACGTGACTCCTCTGCTCATTGACAAAAAACAACGCAGAAAGTAGAGAAAGCGGCATTAGGAATCGCAATCACTGACAGATTCGCAGGATAAGTGTTATCACAGGACGTCTGTGTTTGGACAAATATAGGAAGTCATTTGCGGCGGAACTATTACTTTACAAATTAGAGACATGGCGCATTCGCACGGTCCTCAGTGATTATCAGTAATTACCAGGGGTCCACCGGGCTGAAGTAAACAAACTCGTTCCAGGTAATCGATTGACGCTGAAATGTATTAAATGCACAATAAAAAAGGTTCATTATTGCATTTTATAGTTCCCAAATCTTGTTATTACAATATACATGTCTTATTGTTTTTGGTCCCCAGAAAAAAAGAGAGCGTCATCTGTCATCTACAGTCTCTCTCCCTAAAACCTTCAAACCAGGTCAGGAATCTAGGGGTAATACTGGACTCAGACTTACATTTTAATAGCCACATCAAATCGGTAACATCAGCAGCTTTTTACCACCTAAAAAACATTGCCAGGATCAAAAACATAGTGTCTAAAGCAGACTTGGAGATTCTTATCCATGCATTTGTCTCCAGTAGGTTAGACTACTGCAATGGCCTGCTCACAGGTCTGTCCAAACAGGCTGTAAAACGGCTGCAGTACATTCAAAATGCAGCAGCTCGAGTCCTGACCATAGACTGTATATATTAATGGACAGAGTCACGCCTATCTCTGCCGTTCTAACTAATGGGCCAAAAATGTGCTCTACTGGAGCAATCCAAAATGGCCGTGAGTGGTCCCGCCCACAAGAAAATTGTGAAAAAACGCATCTGCGCATGCGTCAGCCGGCGCAACTCCATTCATTTGAAAAATTCACAGCAAGTAAACTAGAGTGGACCAAAAAAATCCACCCCCTTCAGCATTGACACACATGTGGAACGGAGCTTTGGGCCAAGAGCCAGCTTTTGGTCCATCCTGTAAAGACGTTTTTGAGAGGTCTGCCAATGCTATATGTTAGCATTGGCTAATTCTACTTCTGGGTCCACCCCCATCGGCCCGGGGTGGTATTGCAAGCATGTCAGCGCACTTCATTTTGGCCACTTTTGAGCTGGGACCCTCCCCCACTGGTCCTGACTAGAACCAGGAAGTACGACCATATTAGTCCGGTCCTCAGGAAGCACTGGCTTCCTGTGGCTCAGAGAATAGACTTTAAAACAGCTCTGCTTGTGTACAAGTCTCTCCATGGCCTCGCACCAAAATATATTGGTGACATGTTAGTACCATACGAACCAGCCCGGACTCTGAGGAGCAAAGGGACTGGACTCCTGTTAGTGCCCAGAGTCAGAACTAAACATGGGGAGGCTGCTTTTCAGATTCATGCTGCTAAAATCTGGAACAATCTTCCTGAAGATGTGAGACGGGGTTCCTCTCTGACAATGTTTAAAACCAGGTTAAAAACAGGGCTGTTTAGCTGTGCATACAACTGAGGGATTTTATATTTTTCTTTCCTTTTAATGTTCTGTGATTTTAATGCTATCTTGTTCAGCACTTTGAGTTGCCTTGTGTATGAATTGTGCTATACAAATAAACTTTCCTTGCCTTGCTTTGCCTTTATAAGAAATGAAAAAAGCCAAAAAGAATGGTCATTTTTGTATATTGCCTTGTGCCTGAAAGTGCAAAATAGCCTTTTTTCAATTTTCCTTGAAAAATAGAAAATGTATTGAATGCAGAAATACACGAACCCTTATCAATCAATCAATCAAAGTTTATTTGTAGAGCGCCTTTCATACACAGGGCAACACAAAGCGCTTCACAGTCCACATCACAAATCATCACATAAAACAAACACCAGAATCACAATTAAAACATTAAAATCACACAAAAGATTAAAACACAATTAAAACATTAAAATCACACAAAAGAATAAAACCATTAAAACTTTCAAAATTACACAAGAAATTTAAAAAAATAAATAAATGACAGCAGTGCATTAAAAATGGAGATAAAATCCTTCAGTTATATGCACAGGCAAACAGAACAGTCTTTAACCTGGATTTGAACATTGACAGAGTAGACGCCTCCCTCACATTTTCAGGGAGATTGTTCCAGATCTTAGCTGCATGGATCTGAAACGCAGCCTCCCCATGTTTGGTTCTCACTCTGGGCACCAGCAGGAGGCCAGTCCCTGTGCTCCTCAGAGTCCGGGCCGGTTCATATGACACCAACATGTCACTAATGTATTCTGGTGCAAGGCCATGGAGAGACTTGTACACAAGCAGAGCCGTTTTAAAATCTATTCTTTGAGCCACAGGAAGCCAGTGCAGAGACCTGAGGACCGGACTAATATGGTCATACTTCCTGGTTCCTGTCAGGACTCTAGCTGCTGCATTTTGGATGTACTGCAGCTGCTTACAGGTCTGTTTGGACAGACCTGTAAGCAGGCCATTGCAGTAGTCTAGCCTGCTGGAGACAAATGCATGGACAAGAATCTCCAAGTCTGCCCTGGACACTATATTTCTAACTTTGGCAATGTTCTTCAGATGGTAAAAAGCTGTTGATGTTATTGATTTTATGTGGCTATTGAAATTTAGGTCTGAGTCCAGTATTACCCCCAAATTTCTGACCTTGTCTGAAGGAAGTAGGGAGAGAGACTGAAGTTGACAAATGACGCCCTCTCTTTGTTTCTGGGGACCAAAGACAATGATTTCGGTTTTGTCTGCATTTATGCCTTTGAGCCAATTCACACAATCTAAAACTTTCATTAGAGAGCCTAATATCAGCTTCCATAAACTTTTGAAGGTCATTTGCATGTTTTCCCTTAGTCAGTGTAGGTTTCTTCTTGGTGCTTTGGTTTCCCCTACCACTAAAAACATTTACAGAACCATAGTTCAGGTTGAAGGAGTCTGTATGTGATTGCAATTGTGGGACAACGATTGGAATTGGCGCAAAGCTACAATATGATGTATTTACAGCACTGCTGTTAATTAATTCATACTGTCCCATTAAAATTAAGAATGTTCCACATATAATGGTAAAACATACAGTCAATAATGCATAGTGAAATTATTAGAACCAAAAATGTCTTAAGCTGTAAGGTTGATAAGTATTCAATAAGTTGTTCTCATCAAAGTGCATTATGTAGACAACCAAACATCCAACAAAACATTTCTAATCTTCTCACATTATTTTCCTTTCACATTATTATGACCCATTGGGAAATATTGGATAATTTCCAACGGCACACCAAACAACATCTTCAGGCACGCCAACAGGCACAGCACTCTGATCTGTGAGGAGGAGGAAGAGGAGGAGGTACTGTGTGGCCTGGGTCAAACATGTGGGATCTCCGAAACCACCACTTCTGCTTTCACCATGTCCGGAGTGAAAAGAAGTGCTTTATGTGACCTTGGTCACTGAAAGACTTTATACAGATGCAGATTACAAGCAGTATACATGGGTGACAGTGACATCTGAGCCAATGCCTTTAACGATAACGTGTAGAATTTAAAACAATGAATCACATCATGCGATCACATGTGTATAAACATGTTCTGGTTCATTTAATTTGTTCCTCCAACACACTTACGATCCGTCACCTGAAGATGTTTCTTCAAGGTGCAACCTGCTCAAGATCTTTCGTAGAGATGCGTTGTGCCGCGTTTGCTTTTTTTTTACTAACTTTTTTACTAACATGTTTTGCACGCGATTGTGCTTATTGATCTTCTTTTTCTGTGTCAAGTTTCAGTGCTTTTAGATCTGTGCTCAGATACAGACTTGTTTCCTTCCTTCATGTTAAGTCAGTATCTCTTAGGCTCTGGTTTTCAAGACGGTTCATCATCATTAAGAACTACAATGGAAATGGTTCGGTATTATGACCTGTTGTAGCCCAAAATATTATAATTTTGGGCCAAGAATGAGTTTAGCAACTGTTGGAAGGCGCTAATCTAGAAAATGTACATAACTTATCAATATTTCCAATTTTGTGTGCGCTCTTCTCTTCCAGGGTCCAACAGGAAAGCCACAGACTAACTTCTCTCTGTCCATCACCTGTCAGTTTTGTTGGCAGCTTGACCCGTTGCTTTACCGCTGCTCCAACTCCACCAACTGCATGACTGTGTCTTGCCCAAGGAAACGCTACAATGCCACGTGCAATGTTTTGGATCATGTTCATTGTTTAGGTAAATTAAATTATTTTGTCAATATTAAATGTGCTGTGATCTTGTTACATTATGATGACTTTGTTTAGGTAAAAGACAATTTCATAAACGGTTATTCTGTAACTGGACTGGAGGATACAAATGGTCAACAGCACTAGCTCTGAGGTATTGTTTTGGCTCACATTTGTTTTAAGTTTACTGTTGCGGCATTGGGACATGTGTAAATATACATTTTCTCTGATCTATTTTCTTGCAGCATTACTCTTGGAGGATTTGGGGCAGATCGGTTTTATCTAGGCCAGTGGAGAGAGGGTTTGGGCAAACTCTTTAGTTTTGGAGGTCTGGGAATTTGGACATTAATAGATGTTCTACTCATTGGCGTTGGATATGTGGGACCAGCTGATGGATCGCTATACATTTGAAAGACCGTTGACTCCTCAGAAGGCTTCTCCATGAAGATTTAAGATGCTGTGATCTTAGCACGTTTGCCTGCCCAAGCTTGCAGTGCAACACGTCCTCATCCCATCTGCCATCGGCCAGGAAGTGTTTCTCTCTTAGCATCAACGAAAACTCTACCCACACAAGCATTACTCTATCTCTACGTTTACCTTTGATGTGATGCTAATCTAAAGACACTCTGGAGACAAACAACGACCAGACATTTGTTATGTCTGGTCATAGATTGTCTGTCATAGATTGGACACTATGCCTGGCTTTGTTTCATGTGGAGACAGGTCTGGGGGATGAGATTTAAGTCAAGTAATATGTATCAGAAGGATGGTGACTTGATGATGCAGTTAACTCTTCAATGTCTTCATGAAAAGAACTGGAGTTCTTTGCTTTGTTCTTTAGTGTTTTATTTAATGCGTACTTCAAGTACACCATTTTGCTACCAAAAGCTGCTCCAAACCCCGTGTTCCAAATGCAACACTGGGCAATAATGCTTAATCCATAAAACATGCCATCATCTGCATGATTTGACCAATTTTCCAAATTGGCTACTCAACTGCTATATGTAAATGCTGTACAATTCACCGTATATGTGGTATGTTACTTTAATGTTAATAAAATGCACTTTGTCTTTTTTAACATTTTGTAAATGGTTCTCATGCTACAATCTTAACTGCTACTCCCTTTAGGTTCTCTCATTCTTCTTGTTTTCTCATTCATGCATTATTGGCCTTTTGTGGATCCTGGTTCAATTCACCTTTTACTCCAGTTTGCACTGCAAAGATACTTGAACATAGTATAAACTGTGGAGGAAAATCCTTTGTAAATGCATTTATTTACACAATTAGCTGCAATGTTCCTCGGCCCCATCAGCATGCTGTATTGTGAATACTTAGAATGCATGTTTGTTCTATTGCATATTATCTTAGTGTAAAAATATAATTAGATGAAACGACATTTTTGCAACTTTATCATTTGTATATGCTTTCTTAATGCTAAATTTGTTTATTAAAGTATAAAACATCACTGGCACCAATGAGTAGCATTCCCCTTTGAAATCTAATTTACACGATCAAATTAAATGTGTCTTTTTTTATGTTTATGGTGGTGAAGTGATGTATTCTGAATTGCTGCTCAAAAATTGCGTCAATGTTTTTACGGTATATAGATATCGCCCAACATTGTAGACAAATTGTGTGATTATTATACAGCTTGAGAAGTCAGGTGGGGAGACTCAACTCATCCCACCAATTGAAGTACTTTTCATAGTTTGGTTGAGCCAAATGTAGTTACTGTAACAATGACTTGTTATACATATGTACGTGTTCATACGTTGACTTTTCAGCCCTAAATGACCGAGTATACATCATAGATGCAATGGTAACAAGCACAATTACTTTTATTCAAATTGTCACATACTACAGATCATTCCTTTCATCTTTTGTCATTCTAATGGCACCCTAAATTGTATAAAAAGCTCAATTATCTTACCATAACCCAAATTCTAAAAATCAACTATAATTTGCCGTTGTGCTGAATGTTGAAACGACATCACGACGAGCTGCTTTTCAACAGCTCATTATGAGGAGAACAAAAGTGTATTCTCTAAGCTTACACAATCCAATTTGGCCATATTAAAGGTGTACATTTCAGGTACAAGTTCACCCTCTCTATTTCGTCTATGCCTATTCATCCCTTTCCTGTCACATTTAGTATAGTTGCTAAGGAGCACCTCAGCCAAGCCATTAATTATTGTGTCTATGAAAACGGTTTGGCACCCTGGGATACTAAATGGCAGTCTGGCCAGTCTGCAGTATTCACATTTCTTCTAATTACTAAATAACCCCATACAATAGTTAACTTTAAAATAAACTTTAACCAATATGAAAGGTTTTGTATGCAATGTTATCTCTGCAATACATTGTTTTTTGATCAAGTGAAATATTACTAAGGATGTAACATTCAATTAAAAAGACCATTTCAAGCGAAGATATTCCAAAACTCAACATTTGCATGAAATCCGTGTCAGAACTGTGACCCTTAGCACACTAGAAAGTCTCAGGACATAGCATGAGTTGCAACAAATTGGTTTTGCCCATGATCAAAACAGTCCATTTCTGATATCAAACAAATGTACAAACCCAAGAGTGCTAGCGTTGATGCCATTTTTGCAGAACGCAAGCTGTTTCAAAGGCCTGTGTGAATAGAAGTGGCTGAGCGAAAATATTGGGTGCATTGTGTCACAAGAGGCTTTTAAGCACTACAGTCCAAAGCAACAAAATGGCCAAAACCATTTGTACCAGCAAATCTAAGTCAACAATCTACTCATTGTGATTTACCTCATGGATTATGCAGTTTTTGTTTAACAGTTCCATTTAATAAGACTTTAAAAAGGCCAAAGCATTATATAAACCATGGCGTAACATTGAAAATCAATGTTACACCATAATCACAGGAATGTCATACCATACTTCCGTCTGTCCAAATGACATTCTTCTTGTACAGAAGCAGCTACATTGTTGGCAAGCTAACAATGTATGGTAACAAACAAATACTGCTGCTATGTTATGTTAAAAAACAGGCAATTGCAATTTTAGTGATTTATTTGTACATTAGGTGTTGCACTGTACAAAGATCTCAGCTCTTATACAAAGATAAGGAGCATCAATAGTTCCATTTTTCCCTTATACCCTTTTTATCTTAATGTGAGCTTGGTAAACAACATTAAATAAAAGTATTAGCAAATCTAAAACAAAATAAATAGTAGCTTCCCATCCAGGGGGGGCAATAACGTTAATAAAAAGGCTTTGTAAAGCAGAGGACAGAATTCAAAATATGCCCTCAGTACGACAGCATATTAAAGACAAACTCACAGAAGATACAGAAAAGGCAACACTGCTTGTCCAATGTTGAAGCCATATACACCACTGACAATGTTGTGAGCTTATTACAGGACACCTAATGAAAAAAAACAAAATGAGGAACATTCTAATGTCGTGGCATTTCCCCCCAAAAGCATAATACATTCATTCACTCTATTTCCCATTAAATAATTACACCAAATTGTATCAAATTAACAGAGGGAGCAGTATAAAAATATAACAAAGACTGAAAGTTCAAAATCAAAACATATCTTGCTTAGGGTTGCCAAGTCCACTGTAACCTTTAATAATCCAATCAAGTCTGAGTGGCAGTAGTTTTTCCCCTCTCCGCAATTGTAGCACAGTGAAAGCCACGGGTTCCATCTGGGCCCTTGGGTAGCCTCATCACACCAGGTGGAAGACCATCCGCATTCTGAATCTTTCTGCCCAGCATAGGGCTCCCTACTGGGCTGCTCTCCTGTGATGCCACCTGCTTTCTACGCTGCACCCAGGGGCTTCCTGAAGGAGTAAGGCTACTGTCTGAGGAGTAGTCAGCCCACCGACGGCCAGCCTCAGGGCTGAGCCGGCCTTCACTGGCCAAGGGAGACTTGTGTGAATGGGGGCTTTTGCGCTGAGAGCACGGACTGGCTCGAGGACTGGACCAGGGGCTGTTGCGGGGGGACATCCCTGGGCTCAGGTGATTGTTCTGGAAACTGATGCCTGCAGTTGTGGGGCTGAGCTTGTTGCAGGACAGGGACTTTCTGGCTAACCTTGGTGATGTGGGATTACTCTCAGTTTCAGATGAGCTGCAGGCGGAGTCATCTCCATGGTACTGGAGTTCCCGAACTCTGCTGTTGAGAGAGCGACTTTTGCGCATCCCTCCTTCCTCACGTGGACGCTCTTTTGGTACTTTTTTCTTTGGTGGTTTGGTGCCAATAAGGACCACTTTTAACCCTAAAGAACTCGAGCCTCCATCTTCATTTCCCACCGCTTCATTAGCTTTGACAGCAGCCTCCACTTCCTCAAACTCAACGATGGCACATTCCTCAGTGCCAAGTTGAGAGTAGCGTCCACTTAACCTCTTCAGATCGGCAGGCAGATCTTTTCCAGGTTTCAGGACTCTAACAGAAGCTATGGCGCCATATGTTCCAAAAGCTTTAAGCAACAGCTTCATTAGCTGCTCCTGCTGCATGGCACCTCCTTCGTTACCTCCGTTTTCTTTAGCGGCCCCAGTCAGTGCAGCTAGATCTGGCCACCTCTGCAAATCACTTAACAGCAGCATGCGGCTTGGCAAAGACTCACTGGCAAAGACTGGGACCGCAGACTTGCGACGCACTTTGCGTCCCTCGTCATTTAACTCCAATATGTTGGAATGTCTGAGAGCATAGGCAGTTGTTCTCCAGTCACGAGTCAAGTGCTTCACCTGCATAGACAGAATTATGCATTAGATGTTTGTTGTGTGTTTTATGCTCCCACTTTTCCAATCCAGTCCAACAGAAACAAAATACCTTTTTAAAAGAGGTGAGCAACTTGACACTGACAAATCCAAGTTTATTACGTCGCACATGTTTTAGAAGAAAGGCATCATGTTCCAAGTTCTCATCAGACAGGTAGAACTCAATTTGGGAAACCAATTTGTGAATGAGTTCCGAGTCTGGGGGCTGCCAGCTCTCCTCTTCCAGTTCACCTCCACTGGTCCCTGCTCCACTGTGTGGGAAAACAACAGCAGCAGTTAGAACAGAGCCAACAATAGTACACTGTACAGCACACCTCTTATAATGCATTTTATTTATAAAACTCACATGTCACGCTTGCATGTCCAAAACACATCTCAAAGTTCTACAGCAAGCAACTCTTAGACTTGACTCAACCTGTTAATTAATTGATTTTTTTATAATTAAGTAATTGTGAAAGTTATGTTCATCAATATGACTTGATGTATTCTAGGATTTAATATCACACAGGACATTCTTAACATGTGAACATAATCTCTTCATGTGAATTCAATTCGAATTACATAAACACTTCCAGCAGTACTGGCATTGAAGCTGTGAAAGTGGAAAGAATTGTGAAAGTCCAGCAGTTGCAGATTAGAGTAGGTTTGAATGAAATGTTGTGGATGACTCATCACACCCCCACCCCAAACACACACATCCACACTGTACTGCTGCACGACTATCAGATTCCAGGGACATCAGGTGCAGCTCCTGAAGTCACACGAAAAGACGTACACGGGATGCTGAATGGCCCAAAGCATGATGCAACATATGCAAATAAAACAAAAGATGAACAACCAACTCTCAGATCAGATAACAGGTTGAACCACACCACTATGTGTTGAAAAAACACGAGTCACATGAAACTTTGCTTACGCATTGCCACTGCCTGCTGGATCGTAGACACAGCTCAGGTGTTCTAGGTGTCAAAGTGTGACTAACAAATGAGCTAAAACGACGGAAGGGAATAGAAAATTTGTTTAAACCATTTTTTTTCCCCCTTTGACATTTCAATCTGTGATTGAAATTTCTTTGCACGCGTAGTCAGTGGAAGTTAGGCTGTAGGCCATGGGATAAAAATAGCAACCCTGACGTAGGAAATTAGATTAAAGTGAAGGCACAATCCTTTATCGCTCACACTCTGGGATTTGGTTTGAGGGGCGTACTGCCTGCTACAGGTGCCTCCTTTTCTCTCAAAAAAATCTTTTGTTTCCACGTGTTCGTTCAATCTTCTGGGGTCAAAGTTTTGTTTACATTTGGGCTTATCCCCCCCCCCAAGCCAGTTGTTAATTTATTAACAAGCGAAAGAAACTTGTATTATTTGGCCAACATTTAGTCCTAAAGATATACGGATAAAGGTCTTTGCGCGGAAACTTTACACATGATCTCAAAGTAATACGGACGAGTTACCTTCACACTTTATGAGACATGAAACACACTCAGACCTTGATTTGTCATGCCTGCCCAGGTCGTCTTCACTACAGCTGCCCCCGAGGATGTCAATGTTGTTGGATGACAGCTCCTCCGGCTCCTCGTCCTCCTCCGCAGCTTGAATGGCCACAGTTATCGTCACAGTCCCCATCTCCTGCGAGAGCTTATCCACCGTGATTACCTCATCTCCGTCTGAAATGCACTTTGACGGCTTCATCTTGTGGATGCCCACAAAGCCACTCATGTTGTCGGGGTGAGATGAGGTGCCTTCGTGGATCTCCTGGGCTCCGGGACGTGCAGTAGTATCGTCTGCCTGGAAGTCGACAGCGCACGCGGGGAATGGGGCGCGATTCTTCGGGCACCAGTGATGGCGGAGGAAGCTCCACGGTGCGTGGAAGAGGCGCTCCACGGCTCGCCAGAGACCCTTGGACCGGCCCAGAGCTGAAGCAGGGGCCTGAGGAACAGTAGGGCTTGTAGCGACCAGAAAGACGCCTCTTTGAGCTGCGGAGAGGGGCCGTGGAGGTGGACTAGAGGCTCCGTGTGCTTCTACTGCCACCGCCGCGGCTGCCTGCACTTCCTCATATGTAAGAGGCTTTCTGCTCCCCACACGAGCCTCGGGATTGGTCTTCTCACACGCACTCCCAGCCCACAACGAGCTCACACAAAGCCAAGAGGGAGGCAATAGCAAACACAGGCAGCGCAGAAAGACATTCACCAACGCATGCATTGTATCTTCTTTAGCCACAAGTACTAGGCACTTTCCAGGTGAAGGGACGGGTAAGTTCAAAGATTCTAAGTGGACAACCAACTGCACGTGCTCCTAAGTGGACCCTTTCTTTAAATGCTAATTGGGTAAGAGCTCTTGAACGTGTGGGGAGGAGGGGGCAGAGGGGGCCTAACGATACATAATTATTTGTACTTAAAACTTAAGAGATCTAACTTTGTTGTTGGATGATTTGGGTTATGGATTATGGGAATATATAACACATTTTCTGGTCAAATTAAACTGTTATGGGTAAAGTATACCACATCATGCTGTCTTCATCTTATCAGAAAACCTGTTTTGCGACAAAGCAGACCCAAATAATGGCATCTCAGAAAAAGTGCTTCTGCTGCTCAATTTGCCTCTGGCTGGGAGTGAATTAGATCAGTGGGTAAGTTAAGCCATATGAAGGTAAACTGACCGTAGATTTTGATTATGATGCCAGATTGCATATAGTTTCTATATAGAAATATACAATGAACATCTGCAATTAACCATCTAATCCTCATATACCTACATGTTTTTTCTGTAAAAAAATTGAAATATGTATTTTCTATTGTTTTCTCCATGCTGAATGCTGATTGTTGCCGTTTTTGTTGTTTCTGGTTATAGTAAGCTATAGTAATAGGGTTAGGCTTCTATAAATGTTTCGCTTCACCCTTTCAGTCATTTTTATTTTTCATTTTTTTCAAATATTCTGTATTGTTTAAGTTGTGAAAAAAATGACTGAACAAATAAACTACTACTACTACTAAGTAAATGTTATATTCCCGACTAAAACACGTCACACATATAATCTTATTTGTTTTAACAATACTTGTTCTACAACAAAAGGAAGATTTTAGGGAAGTTAAAATGTGTATGAGGCAAAGGTAATAATTGTTTGTTAGATTATTCAAATACTAAAAGTGACAGTGATAACTGCTTTCTTTTTGTACAGTTGACAGAAGATGTACCAGATCAGCAGTTTTCCTTGTGCAGTCTGACCTCAGTAGGAAGGTACCTCTCCTTTCTGCAAGGGAGGATCAGTCTGCTCAAGCTGCTTTGCAGAGCACACATGTAAACGAAGCTTGTGTATTTAAGGCCAATGTTTTAGAACATTGGTTTTTTAGAAGCAATTTTTGGACACTCAAAGACTTCACATGGTGATATTATTTCAATCTAGCCACTACTGTATAGCCACAAATGCTGTGGGGAAGACCGACAGAAGTGAGACTACCAATCTGCAGCCTGTGTTTGAGTCTGATATCCCGGCTCATAAATTCATAATCCCCCTGGTCCATGGGCTATCATTCGGGTCACTCACTCAGCATTTGGATTTCTAAGGCATGAAAAACTGCAGATGCTGCTGACACAACCAATAAGCAAAGGGCAGATCAGATGTGAGGAGCCCTCTCAATTATCAACACAATTTTAAACCAATGTCTTTAGCTGCTGTGTGCTGCCATCTTTACTTCCATCCTTGAACTTGACCCACTTTATTACACTATCCTGATTATGTTTTTTTGTTGTTTGGCTGGAAATCCTGGTAGAAGGTGGTTTGACCAGACTCATAGCCCAAGGGGAATATGGAGTATATGAAACTGGAAAACAAAAACAAATCTGCGCCATCGGCCCCTCTGAATCACTCACATACCAAACTCGAAAACTCATACTTTATATGTTTTTGATTAAATATTACTAATTATGTTTTGGTTCTAAAGTGTGAAACAGAGCAAAGCAAATAATAAAGTTTTTTGAGATAAATAACTATGTTTTTTGCTTTGTTTACTTGTTTGTTTGTTGTACTGTATTTTAATAATCACTTTGAGATTTCCTGGAAACGTAAGGTGCAACATAATTTAAAAGTATTTTTATTATTATTATTATAAAAATTAGGTATTATATGACATGGTACAGTAGCCCATATTAGGTAGCATTGGGTATCCTCCCATACATTTTAAACGGTTAACAGGCTGCGGGCCGCATATAGAAACGTGTGTGCCTGCAATATGCCTAAGTCAAATTTAGATTGATGAGGAAATTGACTCAGATTTTTACAAATGTTATTAACTATACACCTCATATACAATATATATGTATCTTCAGATTTTACAAATGCAGTCATGTGATTTGGCTCTTCAAGGCACATTGATTCCACATTGTAAATCACTCCTTTTAATGTGTCGCCTATTGTCAGCTTGGCATGAAATATCTGTACTCCACCCCACTGACAAGCTGGCCTCACAGCTGGTAGTGGACTGTGACTCACTCCCTGCACCACATGTCAAGCAGCACTCTAGTTTGTGTACAATGCCACATGGGGAGAGCGAACTGACAAACTGAGAGAAAAGGAGAAACGACAATTATCCTGCTTACTGTATAGTGCGTGTACGTGCATGTTAGAGCCTTCATTTCTCTGGCTGTAAGCATCCAGAAATGCCTTGATATGGTATGGCCTATTTGTCACACAGGCTCCTGGTGGGCTCATCCCCTATGTGTCAAGTAATTTCATGAATAGCTTTTGACAGGCAGTGAGTGGGATGTCCCTTTTGAATCTGGACTCGTTTTTCCTCAGCGACTGCTCATCATAATTTGCTGATTATAGGACTTGGTTTTTTAGTTGGAATTGATTGTGTCCAAAGATAAATTTTAGACAAGCAAGTGACATCATCAGGCTTGAGTACTGGTCTATGAAGAGAGCAAGTTGGTTCATTCTCAGCATTCAGGTTTTTAAGCTGTAAAAACACTGGGATGTAAATATTGTAAATGCATATTAGCATAAAGAGGTACATTCTATAAGAGAATTTTATGATGGAGCCCAACTGAAAAATTTTCATAGTTTATGAGATTCTATCACTCTCGAAATAGAGTGATGTTTGTTTATTTATGTTGTTTTTTTCCATTCATTTTCATCCCAGGATTTTTAGTTGAATGTGGTACGGATTAATTGCAAGTTCATTAATTATGTTTTTTCTAAACAGTTATTAGCTATTTTAGTGTCCAAAAATATTAGTGAACGGCTCTCTATACAAACTAAACTGTAAAATGGTCTTTCCCGGAATATATAGCTTTACCTCAGCTCTATGAGGGTTAAACTGGTATAAAACATTGCATTTGTGTTGTAAATAACTAACCAATTAAACAGAAGAATTGATAATCAAAATCATTGTTAGTTACAGATATTATAGTAATACATCCATGCTTGGTTTAATGGGTCTATCAAAAGGAGCATGGGCTCACCCATTTTTGTAAACATATTTTTAATATTTCGAGTTTACTCTCAAATTTCACGAGATTAATCTCAGGATAAACTGCGAATAAACTCGAAACATTATGAGTTAAAAGACTCAGTCTATGCTCGGTGCATAACACTAAAACTCCCAGAGCAGTGTAATTCCTCGGCTCATGTACCGTTGTGATCTTTATAACTTTATAACTTTTAAGGAAATATATTTATTATTATTGACTTCAGATTCCTTGTTTTCAAATTAAAACTATTAATATTAATATATCTTTATTTAAAACGTTTTTCTTTTTTAAGTGCTGCACTGTAAGCATAACTAGAATATGAAACAGTGAAAAAGAGCAGTCAACGTAGTTTTAATATTTACAGTCTATGGTAGCACCTCATGTAATGTCACTGATTCATATTGTTCGCTTGATTCCTCACTATCAGTATTTTAGGATTTTAAGTTACATAGAAATGGGCGGGGTCAAGTCGTTGCCATGGCAGCGGTGTTTGCAGCGTGAGTTGGAGATGTAGGTTAGTTTGTTCGAAAAGTCAAAGAGTTCACTTTAACGGTAAATTGCTTTTGTATTGCGTGTACAGTAAAGTGATAGCTCAATATTGAGCATCGATTGTATTAATTTAAGTTTAAGAGGCTGTTGGAAGTGATCTTTGTGTTTGAGATGAAAAATAATTTCATCTTACGTTAGCTTTAGCTAACGTTAGCTGCATCGGGGCAAAATGGAACCGTGCCAGGCAGGGGATCAGACGATTAAACACACCAGTCTCAACGACAGGTGGATGTTTCTTCGACCAATGGTAAATATCTTTTAATCGTATAACATCGAAAAAAACTAATGTTAACTGCTATTTTTTTAAATTATTATTCAAGATCAACAGCTGCAAACTGCATCGTACTTTTAAGTCTCCTCCTGACAGAACAGTGAGTGGTATTAAGTCTCCTCCTGACAGAACAGTGAGTGGTATTACTTGATTAAAGACTTAAATTGGCTAATGACTCTGAAATTATTACAGTCAAAATGTTCAACCAGAGAGGACCATTCAACCTTTAATAATATACAATTGGTATGTCCTTCAAATCAAAGTAAGTGGAACTTAAAACACACTGTGTAAAGTCGATCAGACTATGCTGAAAGTTTGCACAATTCTATTCTAAAATATGATATGTTAATTGCTTTGCAGAGAAAAAGATCGTCAGGTCCTCTGAAAAAAAGCATCAAATCCAGCCTCCTCCACCATTGAGAGGCTTTCAAGTATTAATATCCCCACCAAGTATACAAGCTAGAACTACTGTTACACCTACACTTCAAGACAAGAAAAAAAGGATTTCTTACCCCGTTAACACCTCCATAGCCACAGGTAACGTTAAGTTTGTTTACCCACTAACAGTTAAATAATGTACTGTTATTGTTACATTTTGTTTGTGCATAGGATCAAAGAAATCGCTTTGCCCATCACATACTTTTCAGTTCAACCCAGAAGGCGCTTCAGCGAACCTTTTGCGACTGGACTTGGACAGGTAACCTACTAGCATAGACTGTATATGCCTACATGTTACCAGTGTACATATACAAGACTTGGAGTACTTTATAGTGTAGCTAGAGGGCAGCAATGCTCCTGAATACGGCACCCCACCATGGATCTATAATAGCACCCCACTGACCTTATGTTTTTTTTTGTTTTTTTTTTTTTAAATACTATTGTGAATGGTAAATCACTATGACAAATAGCATGATTAATCTGAATTATCTGTATATCTTAAATTTACAATATTTGGTTGTTGTGTCTACTGCATAAGGAGCTGTCTTGAAGAATGTCCCAATTTGGCATTTATTGGGGAATTGCAACTTCTGAATCTTCAGCACAATTATATAAGAAGAATCCAACACCTATCCCAGCTCCAACATCTCATTTTTCTAAATTTGTACAACAATAACATAACTGACATGAATGGTCTTGAGCATTTAAACTCTCTACGAATTCTTATGTTGGGAAAAAACAGGTCAGTCATCATAATGCATTTTTTGTAATTTATGAGAAACAAAACACATAAATTGTCTTTCTTTTCATATAGGATACTGAAAATAAAGTGTCTTGATTATTTAGTCAAACTAAATGTGCTGGATTTACATGATAATCAGGTGAGTTATTGTTTCAATACAATTTGAAGCTTTTATGTGTTAAAACTTCTTTCTCTTGTTTTTTTTGTTTTTCAAAAGCCCAGAGCGCACAACAGGAATGATCCTTGTTTATGACCAAAACCAGTGCTATAACAATAGAAGAAACTGAGCACCAGGGAGAGGCAGAATGATAATCATTTTCTCTTCAGTCCAAAAATATGTTTTATTCTTGGATCTGGTTTTTAAGAACCCTGTGGAGTGTGTGGTGTAAGCATTCAACAGCTCACTGCAACGCAATTGCTGGATTGACCTGAGGTTAGGTAGTCACTCTCACAGGGGACTCTTTCTACTGATATCTGAAACATGAATACACTACTAATGGTAATTGTGGATTCGAGGAGCCTCTGGAAAAGAAAGAGGCAACATGATTTCTTTGGTCAAATTAGTGTTCTGTTACTAAGAATCCCATGCTCCTCTTAAGAGAAAAGATCAAATATATATTTTTATTTGTGATCTTTTTACTGCAGAAGTATAGTAAGTGGTTTTGCTAAACATGGATTTTAAAGTGTTCAAAAGCAACAATTTGTACTTCTATTTTGTGACCCTGAAGTCTAAACTATTACACAAAATATACACGGTAACAGATTGATAATGGAACAGATCCTTCGCTCTTTAATATCTTACACATTTGTCTCTGTTTCAGATTTCTGTGATACAAAATCTCTCCCAATTGTGTGAGCTGCGGGTATTGAACCTGTCTGAAAACAACATTTCTAAAGTAGAAAATGTGCGCGGTCTCAGCAGCTTGATGGAGTTCAACTTACGACACAACTGCATCTCGACTTTTGTGAGAACATTATACTTCTTTATTATACAAATGTGTGTGTCTGTACAGTGTGTAATTTATCAATTGCACTTTTACTTTAGCATATGTGAGCCGGAACAAGAGAGCATGATAACGTTGAAATTCCCCTTCGTGTCCATATCTGTTTTCTTTGAGCAGACTTTATGTCCTTTGTTGTTGCATTCCAGTATAACTGCAGCGATAAGAGGTAGGGCTCAATCTTCTGTGTGTGTGAGAAATGCCGACACGCAAGCTGTCAGTAAGAAGAGGGTGGCGGGAAGGCAAGACCATTTACCAAAATTCAGCTCTTTAGTGTGAGGACTCTGCTCTCTGCAACTGTCCTCACACCAAAAGCACCCTGAGCTCCAGTTTTGTCACTCGCCCTCTAAAATTGAACGAGCTGAGTTCCGTGCCAATTCCTCAAAGGGTCTGTCCAATGGTGTTCACTGACTGGCTTTCACCAAAAGAAACTAGGTTCACTGAGGCACTTTCCCTCGTCATCTCTCTGCAGCATCTTGCCTTGGGAATGTATCTGCTCATAGGGTCTTTCTGCCAGCTGATTGGATCTGATCAGTCAGATTTTTTAAAGAGAGACTACCTCTATGGGTGGATGTTGATGCAGCACATCAACTCAGCAATGACATCATTTGCTCTCAGACAAAGCTGCTATAAATAGTACTGTAGTTTAGGTCTACTCAGGAATTCTATGGATGTAGGAAACATACTAAAAAGTAACGTGGAGATCCTCCAAATGGTGGTTCTTTTTATATGTCTTGTTTTAGGTAATACTTGGACTATGGTACATTGTGTTTATGGATCTGAATTGAAGTTGATTTAGTAAACAAATGATCTTTAAGTGGTGAAATTGCATCACTGGACTAATTTAAGCTATGATCCAGAGGAAGTTACGCATGGGTGGGTGATTCTGCTGATGCAGCTCATTCATACTGGAGCTATGAGTGTCCAGTACTGTGCTGACACCCACCACAAAGGAGACTGTTCAGGATCCGCACATTGAGCTGCGTACAAAGACAGCACATTTGCTTGAAGAAGACGTTTGTCATGTTACCAATGCCATTTTGTCCTTTTATCTATTTGTTTATTTTTTTCGCTATATCTGTGCTAGTCCAGTCCGTTCTAGCTGTATGCTAAAGCCCTGTCTGGAGCCACAGCTAGCTTGGAGCATCTGTTACCCGTGGTAGATGCTGGCGAGTGAGTGTTGGAGTCATCTTCCTGCAGCAGGGGATCTCTGCATTAGCGCAGCACGCAAACCCCTCCCCCTCTTCTTCCTCTCTTTGCCCCACCTCTCCATGTGCAGACGCAGCAGCATGCTCTATGTGTGTGCGCATTGTGGATGAGGATGCCCTGCACCGCAGCTAAAGCTGCAAGGTGACTGTGGAAATGGAGAAGGCAGACAGGCTCTGACTGGACTGAGGATGTGGTGCCCTTGTTCTGATTATCTCCGTCTTTCTCTATCCTCTGCCTCTTCTTTTTCTCTCTTTAGGCTGAGCTGGACTTCCTGTCCTCCTTGCAGCGTCTGTTTCTCAGCTGCAACAACATTAGCAGGTAAGAGATCAGACTGCTTAACTCTCTGCTTCCCCTGGCATAGGAACAGGCCTAGTGTCCGGACTGAGCCATGTCCTGTGTCGCGGCTATGGGCTGTCTCAGCATGGCAAACTCAGGACTACCAAAACAAACACAATGCCCCACATAAAGATTTGCAGTAATAGGCAATGTTTTATTACATATGATGTTGCAGTGGTGATGAAAAAAACCAATGGTTGGGAGACTGACCAAATCCATCCTGACCTGTACTAATTACATTAAAATAAAAGGTTGCAAAATAAAGTTCTAGGCCGTTCCAGAAAGTTGTTTATATTTGGATATTCACTTTTATAATAATAAAACGTTTCATTTAGAGATTTAGGTATCCTTGTAAGCAAACCCTCATTTCTTTTGTGTGAATGTTTCTGGTGGAGGGTCCGTTTGAAATGCTCAGTTTTTTTCTTTTTTTCTTTCAATACACAATGAGACATTAAAGTTCTATGACCTTAATAATCATTTAAAGATGTTTCATTGAAAACATGGGTAAGTGGTTTGATCTTTTCATAGCCTGGCCTAAAACTTGACCTAACGATGTTCCCTGCTGTTTGCAGGGAGAAAATCAAGTTTAATGCTATACGATAGAACATACCTGGCAAGCAATTTAATCTCGGACAAACAGTTGGTGGACCTCCATCAGAAAACTCCTTGTTGCATAGTTGACATATTTGACATATTTTTCTCTTGTGTGTATCAATTTATCTTAGTTTGACTTAATTTCAGTTTTGATCAGCTTGCTCGCCTTGGAGAACTCTGTTCCCTTTCTGAACTCACCCTGGATGGGAATCCTGTAGCCCTGGAGACATGGTACAAGCAGGCCGTCCTGCGCTGTGTGCTTCACCTGAAACAGCTGGATATGAAGCGCATCACGGTAAGAATTATGTTAAATATCTATATTCCTATAAGGGGTACATGTGCAAAAGGGACTTCTTAATAACACCTTTTGCGGCCTCATCTCAGTCATGGTAGATCATTTGGTATGTTAAAAACAAACAAGAAAAGCCCCTTTCATTTTCCGAACACTTGCGTATTGTTCTGGCCGAAATGCATTCTGGGAAATGAGGCTTTTTATCACAGCTGTGCACCAGTGAACTGAGACTAAAACAAGAGTTAATCCCAAAGCCAGCAGGTGTCAGAATCTATTTATAGACTTGTTATTGTGTTTTGTTAATGTGGTAGATATAGGCAAGCTAAATACATTGAGCTGTTGTGATTGAATGAATGTGATTTTTCAGGACGAGGATCGGCGTGCTGCTGGCATACAAGCTCGAAAAGAGGAGGAGAAGAAAAGAGAAAGTCACAAACAGTCCATTAATAAGGTTGGCCATGGACCTGTACCTGCAACCTTATTTTGTGTAAAAGATTACAACTTTTGAATCCAGTTATACAATCATAGTCTTCAGCAATATATTCTACTGCAGACTGTGTCATATAACCACATTCAAAGCAGAAAGTGCTGAACAATGGTAGCCAAAAGGCTACGTTAGGAGCATATTAATAAGTATTTCAAGAGGGCAGATGTCAGGCTGATACCTTGCCAATATTGCCAATGAATTATATAATGTTTAGACCTAAAATATGTTTTCATATCTTTTGATAATCTAGGAGAAGCGACGGTTGGCTATCCGCAATGCAGCGCAGCAGTGGGAGGGTATCAGGTCCTGTCTGGAGTTGCCACCAACATTTGGAGCAAAAGAAGAATTTAGTCCAGAGAACAGCCCAACCCACAGTCCAGCCCAGAGCAATGGAGTCACACAAGAGTCTTCTCCAGATGAACCAAAGTAAGTCCTATTTGATAAAGCCCAATATTCACAACAACATATCAAAGGACATTGTAAGATTGAACACCCATCAGTGAATATTAAGTATTAAGCAAGTAAGTAATCTTTATTTATATAGCGCCTTTCACAGACCAGAGTCACAAAGCGCTTTACAATTGGGGGCATTTCTCTCCCACTCCACACAGAGAGCAGGGATCGCCATACAGGAGGAGCATGCCAGACCTATTGTACATGTTTTTAGTGGTAGAGAAAACCGGAGCACCAGGAGAAAACCTACCTTTAATTTACGGTTTAGGCCTCAGTTTAAGTCAAGTACAAAATGATTGTCCATCCATCTATTTTCTTCCATTAATCCATTTCTGGGTTGAAGAGGTGGCAGTCAGAGCTGCACCAGTCCCTCACTGATCCTCCTGCAGGTCCACCTGCAGTCCAAATACCAATACCATTCCTCAGTATGAAGTAA